AGAGATTAACCCAGTGATCTCAAAGCTTTAATCTTAAACATAAGTATTAATATTATGATTTGCTTTCCCTCTCTCTTCATCTTTTTCAACCTTTCCCAGACTTTAAAATCATACACACCCAACTGAGGGCAGCCGGTTTGTCACCTCAGGTGGGCTCACGACCCTCCGATGGTTTTTCCCAGTCAGGATATAGGAATGGTCAGATCATACTCAAGAATCGATTGTTCCGGAGTCATAGCTGAACACACCGCAGTTCCTTCTGCTGCGTCATCAGGGTCCCCGGGCCTCCTCGCTGGAATTTTGTTTCACCACATAGTAAACACAAATTCTGTGGGTTTCTTTCAAGTTCCAATCTTAATCAGTTTTCGTAACCGCTTTGGACATTTATTGCCCGATTTGGGTCAGTGGACTTTCATACCCCATCCCAGGTTGTACCTAATTTCCTTTGCCACTTGATTAGAGTCAGCTAATGTCCTTACTGCCTGAGTGCATTCTGCGTGCTTTCCACATTTTTCCTGTCTTGCTCTTGGCCTCATGTCTGGAGTCACTTTCCAAACACATTGCAGTCCCCCGTACCCGAGTTTGCCAAATGACAAGACCTAAGCAAACTGGTTTTGAGCAAAAGAAAGGAATTGATTACTTCTCACTGTAGGGTCTCCCAGGGGTGCTTGTGGCTTTAGGAATGGGGGGAATACAGGAGCTGGATTGGTGGCAAAGACACACTTCCATCCCTCTCTACTCTGCTTCCCTGGGTGCTAGCTTCCTTCTCAGGCAGGTGAGGAAGAGGTAGCCATGGCCAGCACTAGGCTTCCTTTATACTTTTTTTCCTTTTTGCATTTTTTGGTGCTTCATTCTCAGTGTGTCTGTGTGGTCATACAGGTATGGAGAGAGCTGCTTTAGGCAAAGTTACAGAGCTCTGTACTGGACTTCACAGCGGTTAACATGTTTATATACAATGTGAATCTCCAAAAGAAGGGTAGAAGAAGCAGCACGTTCTCTTGTTGGGGCAACATCATCATCACAGAGCATCTTGTAGAACTCATTTTCCTTAGAATACCTCTTGAAACTCGCTGACCTAATCTTGGGGGCTCATGACTATTTGTAACTCAAATTTGTGGGAAAGAATAAGTTGGAACTAAGTGATTTTAGGTCAAGATAAACTTGCTGGGCACAGTGGCTTATGCCTGTAATTTCAGCACTTGGGAGGCCAAGGCAGGAGGATTGCCTGAGGCCAGGAGTTCAGACCAGCCTGAGCAATATAGTGAGGCCCCTTTCTCTACAAAAAAATAGAAAAATTAGATGGGTGTGGTGGCATGCACCTGTAGTCCCAGCTACTCAGGAGGCTGAGGCAGGAGGGTCACTTGAGCCCAGGAATGCAAGGTTGCAGGGAGCTATGATGATGCCACTGCACTCTAGCCCAAGCAACAGAGTGAGACCCTGTCTCAAAAAAAAAAAAAAAAAGATAAACTTGCCAGAGTCCAGAAGTGAGGGAGACTAGGCTGGTTTCCCAGGTGCGGGGACAGCTTCAGTTTCTGGCACACAGACAGCTCTGGGGAACATTGAGGCCACTCTTGCTCAGCATGGGCCTCCCTCAGTGTCGCTGCCCTTCATCCTCAGCATTAGTTCCCCTCTCCAGGGCTGGCTCAGTGACAGGGACTTCCTGTAAACTGAAGGTGAGCCCCCAGTGCTTCGGGCACTGATGTGGGAAGAATCCCGTGTGCATTGGGGCCACATGCCCCTCTGGAATATTATCTTGGTGTTGAAAGGCCACTGGGGAAGAACAGGTACAATTTCAAAGCACAAAATCTGGGGCTTGGATTCACGGACATCTGTTACAATTTCCTTCCCTCCTCCCCACCAGCCACAGCCCTACTCCCATCAGTCCCCTTTGTTCTTCATCGGATTATAAGAAATATTAGATAGATTAAATGCCTAACCCCAAAAAGCAGATGCAATAAAAGACTCGTGGGATTTTCTTTTATCATGAGAGCAAATTTGAGTGCTCTCCATCTGTGATGTCATGCTTTCCTCAGCAGATCCTCTCATGGTTTCCGACCTAAGTGAAACTGAGGCGCAGAGCCGTGACCTGTCAAAGGATCAAGTGAGGAGGGGGCTGGGCTTAGAGCCCACTGCCAGTGGCAAGTTTGCATCAGAAACTTGCGTGTCTCTCCTGTGCGTGTGAATTCAGCCAGGAGGTGTTTAATGAGCACAGACTGTGTTGTGGGAGATGGAGGGGACGTGGCCCAGCAAATGAGCTTGACATTGCTACAGCATTGCCTTGACTCTTCTCACAGCCTCAGTTTCCCCATTAGGAAACAAGGGTAATAGGAGTGAATTTCACTACCCTAGGAGTGAATTTGGGCATTGGTGGAGAGTATGCACTAATGTCAAATAGTTGGGATGTGGCACGTGCTCAGGGAATGGCCCTTGTTGTGGAAGGCAGCAGGATACAGACTTAGAAGGAGCACGTGTTCTGAAATTGGACAGCTGTGCTTCACAAACCCAATTCCAACACAGACTGAACAGCATTGGTCAGGGTACCTATTCTTTCAGCCTTGATTTCTTCATTTGTAAAATGGGCAGGATAATACCTACCTTGCACGTATGATATGAGGACTGGAGAAATGTAGAACAATACATTTAAAGTACCTGGCACGATGCTCGATTAGTGGTGAGCACTTTGTCATTATTAGTAATAGGCCCCTGCATGTATTTGGAAGATAGGACAGACCTTCATATAGAGAACAACTAGAACAATGTGTACAGAAGCAAATACAAATATTGCCACCATGTAGGAATTTAAAGTTGGGGATGAGTGGGATGGGCTGGAGCATTTGGAAAAGGCCTTAAAGGGATACTATGGGGAAGGATGGAGGGAGGGCCAAAGAAGTAGAATTGTGAGTGAAGTTTGTGAAGAAGGTTCTGGAGCTGCGGGACCCTCTGGACTCTTGTGGATCCATCCATAATAAACTGTTGAGCCCTCACACTTCCTGCCTTACCCTCCCTGCTTGGGAACCATCCTAACGTATTTCCCCTGCATTTCTGCAGAATCCTCCAGGTTGGCTTTTGGAAGCCAAATAAAAGTGTTGAAGGGAAAGGTGCTGAAAACAGGTTTTCAGTAAGCCTTTGTCTTCCTGCCTGATCGTCAGAGCTGAAGATGTAGAGGCAGGTATCTTACAAGCTGGTGGAATGAACTAGAGCTTCTTTGAGGTTATTTGTGTGTGGTGGGGTGGGGAGGGCGGCAGGGGGAGAGGTGCTGTTGGCTTTTGCAATCTCAACTACACAACGATTCTCAGGCCTCACGCTGCCCCTTTGCAGTGCTTTTAGCAAGACACGCGGGAGGCTTAGCGGTAGCATAATGTGATTCAGTCAGTGCTTTGTTATCAGACCTGCCAGCCCTGGCTGCGTGGCCTTGAACCAGGGTGCCTGGCTCCCTCCTGGGGAAGTGGGCCGTGTCACATCTGGTGTGTTCTGAGAATTGACATAATGGAAAGCTGTCTGGTATCACAGTCAAGAGGGTGGCTCTGGAGTCAACAGCTACATCCAGATCTGCTCCTCCTCTCCCTAGCCATCTCACCTTTCTCAGCCTCCGTTTCTCCTCCTGTACAATAGAAAAACAAAATACTAACCCTTTCCCACTAGGTCAGCTAGAGCAGTGTCACACTGATGCTGAAGCTTACTTTATGGTCCACTCAACTTCTCCCTCTCATGAGCTTCAGTAGCAGGTATTGATTGAGCGCTTGCTGCATACCTGCCACCCTGCAGCTAAACCAAGGAGCAAATGCAACAGGCTGGTTTGACAGAGCGTGACAGGCTTGATGGGCAGGGTGTCGCCTTTCTGAGGAGGTGGCACTTCAGCTGAGATCAGAAAGAGAAGGAGGCTGGGATAAGTGTCCAGAAAGAGAGATAACCAGCATAAAGCCTTGGAGACAAGAACGGTCTTGGCTTAGAAGGAGCCGAAGTCCCTGCGATCAGAAGCAGTCTTGATTTTGAGGGGGCTACAAGGCAGGACTGGGGAGGGAGGCAGACCAGAGGCCCTCAAGGGCCAGTGTAGGGAGTTTGGACGCCAACAACCTGAGAAGCAACTCAAGGATCTTAAGCGGTAGGGTGGCAGGATCTGATTTATTTCTCAGAAAGATCCTTCAGGCTGCTATGGGGAGGATGGATCGTTAGGGAGAAAAGTGGGCTGCAGAGACCAGCTGGCCTTTCTGCAGTAACCCAGGCAGAGGCGTCAGCACTGTCAATCGCAGGTGGGGGTGGGTTGGAGAGCTGCACACGTTTGGATATATTTTGTAAGCAGACGTGATGGGACTGGCGGCTGGATTAAATACGGCAATGTGGGCGGGTATGGAGATGGTAAGAAGAAAAAAAAGAATGGGGAATCATTGCAGGGAGATGGGGCTTGAGCAGCTTGGGGTTGACCTCAGTTGGTTTGGGGGTTGGGAAATGGGGAACTCTATTTTAGGTGTTTTCTGGGGTATTATCAGAATCAGAGCCACTAATAAAGTTGACACGTTCTGCCGACTGTTGCCACTCGCCTTCGCTCGGCATCTCGTTCCAGCAGTGGAGTCTGGAGAAGTCACACAGCAGCTCTTCTGCCACCCTGACCCCTGGGCAGGGGCCGATGTGGGCTCTTTCCCCACACACTTTCAGCTCTAGCCCCAAACTCACTGCTCCTGCTCTGCTGCTTGGCTTTCGTCAAGTTCCCAAGATGAAGCTGAGGACAGGGCAGGACGCAGGTGGTGTCGGTAGCCACCTCTGCTCGTGGAAGCACCCACGGTTTGCGGAAGGCACCCATCGGCCACTTCGCCCGGCTGCCCGTCCCAAGCAGCAAGGCTGGACGGTGACCTCGGAAGAGTCACATCTGAGGCAAAGAACCTTACCTGGGGCTTGATGACCCAGGCCGGGTCCTTTCGGGAACGGTGCACATTCGTCTGTGCCGTCAGCCTGCGCGGGAGCGGCGCGAGGTTTCGGTGCTCAGGTTGTGTTTGTCTTGACAGCTGGGATGACAGCAGCTCCGTGAGCAGCGGCATCAGCGACACCATAGACAACCTCAGCACTGATGACATCAACACCAGCTCCTCCATCAGCTCCTACGCCAACACACCTGCCTCCTCCCGCAAAAACCTGGACGCGCAGGTAAGGGACACAGGGCCCCGGGGCTGCTCAGTGGCCCCTGCTCGCAGGGAGCCTTGGGCTGGAGGGGTGAGAGGGCCGTTCGGGGTGGGCAGGATCCCCAGGGTGGCGAGAGCAGGCCCAGCCTCCTGCTGCCTGTGCGCTCATCTCCTGGCCCGGCCCCAGCCTGCCAGGAAGGGGTCAGGCAGGGGGCAGTGGAAACGGGAGTCACCCACTCACCATGTGGCTTGGTGGCCTCACATTTCCTCCCTGGACTTCAGCTTCATAATCTGTTTAAATAAACAAACAGAAAGTGATGTTGGACTTTGGCAGTTCTCAGCCTAGAGTGTGCGTCCCCTCCTTGCCGCAGTAAGGCACTGTCGTCCGGGGCGCGTGTCTGATCCCTCAAGTCGGATGGAGAGGGACGAAGCCGAACAGCCCCGGTGCGCAAGACCAGTGCATCCCGGCCTGAGGCTGGACACTGTTGGTCACATCCTCCTGCCGAAGCGTTTTATTTGGCCCACAGTATTCCTCTTCCTTTAAACCAGATTCCATGTCAGATTTTAAAAACTGCATTATTTCACATGGAAGGATATTTCTGGTTTCTCTTGAAAAGTCAGAAATACTGCTTCCTTCGCCCTACATTCTCCGCAGGGTGACAGTCAGCAGACGCCCCCATGCCCGCCCCCGTTAGACCGGGGGCTCCTGTTCCAGTGTGCACAGCTGCTGCTACCTGCCCGCCAGCTGCACTCTCTCAAGTGCCGGCCTGACCCCGAGGCACCCACGTTTGCAGCCCCTGCCTTAAGCTCTCAGGCTTTATGTCTCAGGTCCAGTGGGTTTCGTGTGGGCACGTGCACTGGGCCACTCCGTAGTGGTTGGCAGAGGGTGGTTCTAGTGAGCCCATTTTACCAGTGGAAAAGTGAAGTGCCATCCCTCCTCATAGCTTGTCCCCCAACTTGGGACCGGCCAGCCAGGGTGGTGCTGGCATAGTGGGCTGGAATCTTTGTCACGATTGGCCCCTCCCACCAGCGGGGGCCACTGTCTTGGGTGAACCCTTGGGAAAAATCTATCAGGACAAAGGCTCCCAGAGTGACGGCGGGGAGGGCAGAACTAACACTGCCTCTTCTTCACTCCCTTCCTCCCATATCCTCTTCCTGCCCCAGCTGGTTTTGGCTCTATACAGATAGGAGCTACTTTGGAAATGTCTCTGCTTTCAAAAGCTTCTCTTTGCTGAAGATAGGGCTAAAGAAAGGATGCATTCGACTGTGGGAGTAATTCTGTCCCACAGAAATGGAAACATTGCCTGCCTGATGAAATATATTATGTGTTGCTTCTGGGACTGCCAGTCACTCCTTGGGTTCTCATTTTAGCCAGTATTTCTAGTTGCTGTTCAGGAGTGAGGGTGGATTTGTGTTTTTAAAAAATACTACCCAAATGACTAGAAGGGGATCATATTGGGGGTGCTGGTAAAGTTCTATATCTTGATCTGCATGGTAGTTATGTATGGTAATTTCATAAAATTTATTCAAGCTATGTACTTTTTTCTTTTTTTTTTTTTTGAGACAGAGTCTTACTCTGTTACCCAGGCTAGAGTGCCGTGGCGTCAGCGTAGCTCACAGCAACCTCAAACTCCTGGGCTCAAGCAATCCTCCTGCCTCAGCCTCCCAAGTAGCTGGGACTACAGGCATGCACCACCATGCCCGGCTAATTTTTTCTCTATATATTAGTTGGCCAATTAATTTCTTTCTAGTTTTAGTAGAGACGGGGGTCTCGTTCTTGCTCAGGCTGGTTTTGAACTCCTGACCTTGAGCAATCCTCCCACCTCAGCCTCCCAGAGAGCCAGGATTACAGGTGTGAGCCACCGTGCCCGGCCTCAAGCTATGTACTTAGATTGTGCACTTTACTACATAAAAAACCAAACCCAAGCCACATTGCCTAAGAATGATCACTGTTTAACTGGTGATTAGACACAAGTTAGAAACACCCAGCTAGCCTGTATTCCTGCCATCTACCATATACCAAATGTCATGATATCCACCAGTTTTCCTTTCCTTGCGGACACTAGTATATTCCCAAAAATTCATTTTGTATTCAAGCTAACAACCACCAAACTTCTAGACTGTCCTTAGATACCAAGGAATTGACCACCTGGGTGTGTGTATCCAGGAGGCATGCGGGTTATGAGCGGTACTACAGAGATAGGTACTGGTGAATCAGTGAAATTGCTCTTGTGTACTTGCAAGGTAGGGAGGCTTGCCCCAAAGATGCAGGTTGGGCCAGTAAAACACCATGTTGGAAGAATCTCTCTGTTCCACATTGCTACAGAGTAAACATCTGGGATTTGCAAATGATTCTTTGGACCAGCTCTTTGCCTTCGCCTTGCAAATGTCAAGTCAGAAAAGGTCCAAGAATTCTATATAAACATATCTTCTGATCAAGATCAGAAGTTATTTCAAGGGATACAAAAGGCTTACTGTTCATTGTGTGGTTTTTTTTTCCTGAGTATTTAAAAACTACCTGAGTTAAAACAAACAAAAAAAAAAAACTAGAAGAATAGGTCTTGGAGTAAAATAAATGCAGACTGTGCCAATACTTACTAAGATTTCTGTTGCAATGGTTTCTTTAAATGGATTTTTAGTGACATTCCCTTTGTTCCTGTCCAGGGAGCATCTCAAAATATTTGAATCAGCATAATTCGCAGCTCCCACCCTCTTCCCCATCTCACTCTGAGGAATGCTAAGGGCCATTACTCCTCTCCGAGCAGCAGCAGGCAGCGGGGAGATGTGCGTTGCACCCTTTCCAAGAGCTGTGCCTTCTGTGCTGCGGCTCTCGTCACATGCTGGTTTACTCTGGACAAGGGGCAGCACGCAGTCTGCAGGGCAGGGCGTAGGGAGGCAGGAGGAAGTGGCTCAGTGTGTCTGTCCGGAAAGCAAGTTGAGGACAGGTTGCCCGCCTAGGTTTTCCTATTTGAAGGCGTCTGCAGAACGGCCAAAGGAAGTGCATCTAAGGAGCAGGGAAGTTATTGTGTGGAAACCTAAGGAGCAGCCTGTGCAGCTGATTGAAAGGGGAGGAGGCGGATCTTTGGGAATGGAGGTTCCCTTTGTCTGTGAGGGACTCCGTGTTCCTGGGGGACATTGAGGAGCACCGAAGGGTGCCCTCCACGGGGCATACGTGCCCAGTCGCCCAGAGACCCTGTGCTGCTGCTTCTCGCTGTGCTGGGCAGAGAATGCCCTGCCTGAGGCCGGAGAGCCCGTCCACCGACTTCCTCCAGGAGAGCTGGTGAGTCCGGTTGGGCAGCCAAGCCAGATTGCTGTCAGGGAGATGGTGTGACTTTGAAGTCAGGTGGTCTTGAGTCATGTGCTCACACTCGGTGACCTCCTTGGATGGACAAGATAACAGCTCCTCCAAGCCTCTGCCTTCCCTCCCATAACAACACGGCAGCTTGACCTGTCTTGAAGGGTGAGTGTGAAATTGACTTGGAAATACTTCATCTGAACATAACCCGGTGCCTGAGATTTGAGAGTTGCTCAGAAGTTACTTTCCTCCCTCCCTTCTGACACCCTGTCCCTCTGCCTCCCTCCTCCATTCGTGTCAGTGACTAAAAGTTGACTGCTCTCAATATATTTTGTTTGTAGTTCCAAAGCAAGTCATCTTCTACTTGCAGTGTTTTTTTTTTTGTTGTTTTTTTTTGGTTTTTTTTTTGAGACAGAGTCTCGCTTTGTTGCCCAGGCTATAGTGAGTGCCGTGGCATCAGCCTAGCTCACAGCAACCTCAAACTCCTGGGCTCGAGTGATCCTTCTGCCTCAGCCTCCCGGGTAGCTGGGACTATAGGCATGTGCCACCATGCCCGGCTAATTTTTTATATATATATCAGTTGGCCAATTAATTTCTTTCTATTTATAGTAGAGACGGGGTCTCGCTCTTGCTCAGGCTGGTTTTGAACTCCTGACCTTGAGCAATCCGCCCGCCTCGGCCTCCCAAGAGCTAGGATTACAGGCGTGAGCCACAGCGCCTGGCCTACTTGCAGTGATTTATTTTGGGGGCAGTGTGTTGGTGACACACACGACTCCCCGCATACCCCTCTGTCCACTCGTGTCCCTGACCGGTCTTTTCTCTCGGTGCTGTGGAAGGCACCGTTCCCAGCACTCAGGTGTGAAGATGCACACCTCAGGGTTTCCTTTCATTTTCAACGTCTGTGAAATATGCAGAGGAGAAAGGATAATTCAATGTCAGTTTTTTTTTTATGACTTAGGGAAGTAAAATTCTGAATGGTGTGGCAAGGATTCCCGTCCTGTGTGGCCTTGGCTGACCCTGGAGTTCTCTCACTGTCCTCTGGGTGTTGGTGTAGGGGGTAGAGATGGGGTTTGGCTGGGGGTGGGGAGGGTGCCTCCTTTGCTCACCTACTGGGGGCTGCTGCTTCCGACTTTGGGCAAGTCATTTTTCCTCTTCAAACCTGTATTTTCCTGGTGTGTAAAATATGGAAAATAATCCAGTATCCTCAGAGGGTATGAGGAACTAAGGCTGTGTGCAGAGGGACACAGTGCCCGGCAGCATGAGTGGCAGGTGGTGATGCCAGTTACCATTGCCGCCGTTGCCGGGGCTCAGACGTCAGCCAGCTCAGCATCCAGGTCCACAGGGGACGCGACCTGAGGAGGGAGGATCCCTGCCTGCTTGGGGCACAGTGGCCCAGTAGCAGCAAGGACAAGCACCCTGTCCAACCTAATGCCAGACAACGGTGGGGCAAGTGCAGGAGATGGACAGCAGAGTGCTGGGAGTTTTGAGAGGCGAAAGAGTCAGTGAGAAAAACAGCCACCGCCTACGGAGTCCCTCCACATTCCGTTCGTGGAGCCCACCATCAAACCTCTGAGAAGCCTAGTTGTTATCATCCCCGTTTTGTACACAAGGTAGTAATCTCCGAGAAGAGAAGCGGCATCCTTCAGGGTCACACACAGCAAATGAGGGGCAGCACGCAGCACTTGAAGCTCGATCCGTCAGACCCAAAGCCCGCGCCGTCCCCCACGTCAGGCCAAGCTTCCTTCTCTTCCTTAGGCCTCGCCTTGGTTTCTCTCTCTCTCTCTAAGAAGATGTGCCTCCCCCTGCCCCAGGTCCCTTCTGCGTGGCTTACTTCTCCTCCTTCCAAGTAGGGGCAATAAGAAAATCCTCCAGAAAGCTGGTGGCACAGAGGTGGGAGTCACTGGCAAAGGTGTCAGAGAAAGGGAGGATGGAGCTCTGTGTGTGTCCCCCCAACGTGGACATCCTGCTGGCTGGCCCCGCTGTTGCAAGCTCTGTGGACAGGGAGGATGAGTAAGTCCCAGTTTACTCTTTTGTTGATACCGAGAGGTTCCCCCACATGGTCCAGCAGCTCAGGAAGGATCTGCTAAGGAGATGTGAACTCAGAGCCCATAGAGTGTCCCAGGGCAAATGCCCAGCGGTTCAGAGTAGAGCTGGGAAACTGCCACCCTGGACCAAGTTAGCAGAGGTGTGATGGTTGGATGACTGTTCTCTCCAGAGAGAGAGAATCGAGCCATGGTCCTGGGCCAGGAACATGCACACTCTCTCTGCTGTTGATGGCATTGGGTTCTAGAGTTCCCACCCACAGGCTGGGCTAGATCTGCTCTGGGACTGGGGCTGGCAAGTGGCCAGCCAGCCTGCCAGTATGGAAGGGGAATCTACTGAGTGTGCAGAAATGTCTCATCTCCTTGGACGTGTCCTCCAGGAAGGCAACATGGCACAGTGGTTATAACGTGGGCTCTGCTTTTAGATTCCCTGGAATCCCTGCATCTCTTCCTCCTCACTGAGCGATCTTGGGCAGTTTTCTTCTCCATCCTGTGCCTCACTTTTCTCATATAAAATTGACAATATTAACTGTAACTTCCTCATATGTTTTTGGTAAGAATTAAATTCAACAGTACATATCATTAGCTTAGTGCCTGGCACATGGTGAGTGCTCAATAAATTTTACTGGTTACGCTGCCATTATCAGCACCATCACAATTTGATTGGGGGTGTAGGTATAGGAACATTCAAAGAATAAATAATACAGTAACTCAGGGTGTGGCATGTGCTAAATTTTCAGTACCTCTTAGAATATATTGTTAATAGGATGTACTTGAACTTAAGCTCCATGGGGGTAACAATTTTCATCTGTTCATTGCGGTATTCAAATAAGCTTGCCTGGCACGTTGTGGCACCCACTAAATATTTGGCGAGTGAATGCTTCCAAAGCCAAGTTCTTTCTAGCCTCAGGGCCTTTGTACATGCGGTTCCCTCTGCCTGGCATGATCTTCCTTAAGTATAGCTTCTCATTATTTAGGGTACTTCTTCAAAAAAGCCTTACCTGACCACCGCCCTCACCCCCATCATCACAGTATGAAGGATATCAAAGCCTGTATTTCTCTCAGACTCCTTGTCCTTTTCTTTATGATAATCTTTGTCATTCACAAGTACACCTTTATTGACTCTGCCTTGCTCCCTGGACTGTAAACTCCATGCAGGGTGGGGACTGGCCTGACCCGCAGATTCTCTGACCCTCTGCGGCAACTGAGGGACAGTGAGCATTGGCTAAGTTCTGGTTCTGGGCTGGGCTGGCTGGCACAGGGAGTGGGTAACTTGAGTTTCTGCTCCTCTGCACAATTGCGATGAAATACAGTCACCTGCTTGCCCTCCTTGATTGGATAGTGGCTGGGACCGGGTGAGATCATTCCGCTGAAGTATGTTATGGCCCGAAAAGCAGTGCTTGTCATTCACCCACTCACTCACCAAGCTCGGACTGCTCCTGCTCTGCCCACACATGGGAACTCCCCTCACTGTGGCCCAGGTCACAGCAGAAGGATGAGCTGCTCATAGTTAGCAAGTGTGTTTTTGTCTTCATATCTCTAGTGCCTAGCTGGAGAAAACAAATGCAAGAACCCGTAAGGCAGCTATAATGGATGAGTGGAATTCATAAGGAGGAGGGGGTTGGGGAAGAGACAGAGGCAATTAAACTCGGCTGCTTGTCTGTTTTTACCTTTTGTCCCATCCAGCCATTGTAGTCCACGGAGGAAGGCATCTGTACCACTCTTGGATGACAGGCATCAGGCCAGATTCTCGCCAGGTGTTCATTTTAATGTCCCACATTGCTGACATTGCCCACTCTCGGTGGTTAAATATGGCAAATGCGGGATGCTATCTTAGTGCAGCCACCCGGAAAGTGCTCTGACCTGCCTTCCCCGTTCCCGGTGCTGCTGCTCCCCGCTGGCACCCCAAGACTGGCCTCCCACCCCAGGAGGCCTCCAAAGCATTCTGGTCAGCTTTGTGCCTCTGAGCTGCAGGAGATCATTAACGTCACACTTCTTTCCCCTCCTGGGTTCCACGGCCAGCAGGTCAGGGCTCTTCCAGAGAAAGCTGGCTAATTATATCCCTTGTCTGAACAGAATCCCACAAGGGGAGCAGAACAGGGGCGTATATAAATGCTGCTGGGCTGTGGGGCAGGCACCATTGGCGCTGAGCATTTGCGGGAAGTGCCACTGGAGGGGTTGCCTCCTCGGCTCCTGGCTCCACCTGACTCCGTGGAACCAGCAGCCACCCTCGCTTGCTCGCTCCCTGGCGTGGCGTGTCAGCTCTACAGACCTCGCTGGCAGTGGAGTGATGGCAAGAAGGCAGAACAAAGGGAGACGGGCCAGGAGGCTGGATGCTGGTTAGAGACCGAGCGGCGGGAGTTGGAGGAGGCTTGTCTCCAAGTGGCAGAGAGTTGGCAGCCGAATTCCCCCGCGTCTCCATCTGTCGGTTCTCCCCCCCAGGGCTCTCCCTCTTTTTTCCCCCAGGAACCTTTTACTCTTCCTCCCTCACTCCCTTCTAAGGATACATTTATATTATTTACTTTTTTACCACCACCACCCCCACCAAAAAAACCAGGCTTCTTAATAAGATAGCCAAAGTACCAAAGTCCAGACATTTGTGAAGGAATTATTATTTCTCCCTCCAGTCCAGTGTGTTGTCGTTTTCACCTTTGGAGTGAGGGGCTCCCGAGCCTGGGATGTAGGGAGGACTAATTCGGGGAGTCTCTGTCCACAGACCGACGCTGAGAAACACTCGCAGGTGGAGAGGACTCCCCTGTGGTCCGGCGATGATGTCAAGAAATCAGACGGAGGCTCGGACAGCGGCGTAAAGATGGAGCCGGGCTCCAAGTGGAGGCGGAACCCTTCCGACGTGTCCGACGAGTCCGACAAAAGCACGTCGGGCAAGAAGAACCCCGTCATCTCACAGACGGGCTCGTGGCGGCGAGGCATGACAGCTCAGGTGGGCATCACCATGCCGAGGACGAAGCCGTCCGCCCCAGCAGGTGCTCTGAAGACCCCCGGAACCGGTGAGTGAGAGGCTGGCGCCGTCTTGCCTCCGCAGTTGTCAGCTTGAAAACCAAAACCACAGTGCCTCTAGCAAGGACTCGGTGTTGTGTCTTTCCTCTTAGGGTTTGTACTCTGCTAACAACCAGCTTTCACGGAGGTGCACATCCCTGCCTTTTCCTAAGTGGAAATGCGTAAGCCCGTGAACCTCTTCAGCTCTGGGGATGGTTCAGCTGCTGGGGCACATTGAGTCGGTTTCAGTGTGTACTGGGGAAGAGTTAACACACCCAGAGCAGGCTAGTCAAGGGCATGAGTTCACAAGCTGTCAGTATGTGGAGTCGATGTTGTCCATGATTGAGGAAATGTGTATAAACAGGGCAGGGGTGCCCCCCGGACACATTAAGGACAGCTTTTTAATGGACGGAGCATGAAAGGTTAGCAAAAAGCAGGATATATATATTTTTTCCCCAGACATATCAATGATTGACTGGCTTTGCTTCATTCTGGGTAAATTTAGACTGCTTTGCAAATGAGTAAAATCATTGACATTTCCTAAAGGCTCACAGTGACAGTGGTAGACTATATTATCTTTATAAAGAGCTCTTTCCTTTGCCTCCCCAAGGAAAAAGGGAGCCGGCTCTTGAGAGGAGGGAAGCATCTTAAATAGACACGATGCATGAGCTGGGCTCTCGGTTTGCAGGCTAATCTTTCTGATCTCTCTCTCTTAGGAAAAACAGACGATGCAAAGGTGTCTGAGAAAGGAAGGCTTTCTCCCAAAGCCTCCCAGGTGAAGCGCTCCCCATCTGATGCTGGCCGCAGCAGTGGTGATGAATCCAAAAAGCCCCTCCCTGGCAGTTCGAGGACACCCTCTGCCAATGCCAACAGCTTTGGGTTCAAGAAGCAGAGTGGCTCGGCCGCCGGTCTGGCCATGATCACAGCCAGCGGGGCCACTGTCACCAGCAGGTCAGCCACACTGGGCAAAATCCCAAAGTCGTCTGCGCTCGTCGGTAGGTCTGCTGGCCGGAAGTCGAGCATGGATGGGGTTCAGAATCAGGACGACGGGTACCTGTCTCTCAGCTCCCGGACAAACCTGCAGTACCGGAGTTTGCCGAGGCCCAGTAAGTCCAACAGCCGGAATGGGGCTGGGAACAGGTCTAGTACCAGCAGCATAGATTCCAACATCAGCAGCAAGTCCGCAGGCCTGCCGGTGCCTAAGCTGAGGGAGCCTTCCAAGACAGCCCTGGGCAGCTCGCTGCCAGGTCTGGTCAACCAGACAGACAAGGAGAAAGGCATCTCATCGGACAGCGAGAGTGTGGCTTCCTGTAACTCGGTGAAAGTGAACCCTGCAGCCCCGCCTGTGTCCAGCCCGGCTCAGGCCACTCTCCAGCCTGGGGCCAAGTACCCAGACGTGGCCTCTCCCACGCTTCGCAGGTAAGTGGGTACACAAACGGTACCGGGCAGACCTGGGACACAGGGAGTGGCATCCTGGATTAATAATGTCCATTTCTTGGTTAAAGCAGCCTCTGTTTTTCTCCACTTTAGTCCTCGGGAAAGCTGTTTGGTCAGATCCTCCCAGTAATGTTGCAGTTGACCGATTGTTTCCCGTGTTGGGATGAAAAACACAATCCTCTGGGATCAGTAATCCTGGGTCCATTTTAATTAGCTGCCATGTAACCTTTCTTAACAACTCTGCCTCAGTTTCCTCATCTGTAAAATGAGGATGATGATACTTTTCTCCTGGCTTTTGTAAAGATTCACCTTTGTAGCCATTTCTGGCCATAGTAAGCACTCAGTTGAAGTTAGCCACCATTCATGATGAGGTCTTGATAGACTCTCAGACCTGGGCGGGGAGCTCAAGGGAGGGACATTTTTTGTTTCTATTTTTGTTTTTGATTTTCCTTGCCTTGGTAATTCAGCAGCTGAGCTTACTCATTATGGCAGGCAGCGATCTTGGTCAGATCCTTTTCTCACACAGCCCTAGCCCAATGTCCCCACATACTTTTTTATTTGTTAATTTTTTTTTAATTTTTTGAGACAGGGTCTCACCCTGTCGCCTGGGCTAGAGTGTAATAGCCTCATCAGTAGCTCACTGCAACCTAAAACTCCTGGGCTCAAGTGATCCTCCTGCTTCAGCCTCCCAAGTAGCTGGGACTACAGGTACACACCACCACACCCAGCTTTTCTTTTTCCGTTTTTAGTAGAGACAGGGTCTCAGTCTTGCTCAGGCTGGTCTTGAACTCCTGACCTCAAGTGATCCTCCTGCCTTAGCCTCCTAGAGTGCTAGGATTACAGGCACAAGTCACCATGCCCAGCCCCCATATACTTTTTTATACTACATGCATAATATAGGTTAGTCTATAATTTTAGCTTTCTTTATTACCAAAAAACCCTCTTAAAGCAGAGATATTTCTGGAAAAGAGAAACTGATTTCCTATTACCTTAAAAAGACATCATTTCCCACATTTTCCCTCTGGGTAGAAGTTCTTAATATGAAAATATTATTCACTGTTTTTTTTAATACTTTCTTCTAAATTTATAAGACTTTTTCCTATTCCTATTATCTCATTTTAATATCCACTGGACCATCCCCAAACTGCAGCTGCATACATTAGAGCTCATCCCTTCCCAGGAAAATTCTTGTTGTAAGAAAAAGTAAATCCCAAGGATAGAAAATTAAGCAGTGAAAAAGTAAAAATTATATGCACTTGTACATATTTGTGGATGAACAGGAATGTTTGAAAAGACTTCAGAAGAAGCATTCCACATGAAAGCTATAACGAAGCAGTTCACTGTTCTTTGTCTAGACTTGATTATTAGAATTTCAGTAATGATGATTTTTTTCAGGGGGAAGGTCTTCTTGGGCTGCTCTTTGTTGTTTTAACAGGTTGCCTTGTAAATGAGAATTTTCTCTGCTTCTTGCCTCAAGTATTATATGTAATATTTGCTGTTTGGTGTTATAGATTTCCTTTAGTCACTACAAAGGCATTTTACTAGATCCTTAGGCTAGTGTAATAGAGTACTTGAAAATGCATGCATCTCCTCAGGCTCTGCATTGAGCACCGTTCAGCCAATTCCTGGTAAATTACATTTTTCCTAAATCGTTAAGTGTTCTCAGTTCTCTCGTGTGCATTAGTATGGAGAAGAGAAATCTTAGGTGAAATGTGATAGATAACTCTCTTCAAATCATTTGAAGGACTAACAGACAAAAGATTGGACTTTTTCTGTGTAGTGACACATAGGATGAGAAGCACTGTGCAAAAGTCAGAAAAAGATGGATAAGATTATGGTTTTCTAGCAATTGGAATTGGTTGGCAATGGAGTGAGTTATACATTTAAGGTAGTGAGGATCCTGTCACTGGAAGTATGTAAGCATTCTAAAGCCAAGATTCTACATTAGGATATTTTAGTCCCCGCTTGTCACCAGACGAAAAGTGTTTCTCCTCTGTCCGCAGACACTGTAGGGATTAATTGATTAGTTGTTTGTTTGTCTTTATAGTGATGGAGATTTGTAGATCTGTTTGGAGAGAACAGAGATCAGATTCACGCCACTTTGAGTACTTGGGTGAAAGGCCATCTGCACATCAGAATACATAGTAGTTTTGTCACATTTCAGAAATACTTATTCTGCATGGGTTTTAATGGGTGGAATAAAGCCCTTTTATTACCAGAATGTGGACCACCCTCTGACTTTAAAACAGTTCCACCATTCTACTGGAGAGCTCTCTGCCAGTGGAAGAGGGGGGCATTTGTGTAATTCCCTGTGGTCTGAAGACACATTTTTGGCCATGCGCAGTGGGGAGATGACACAGAATGGCATTCTGTGTGTCTGTTACGGAGACTCAGTTCACATCCAGCGTGTCTGGTCGAAGGTCTTGTGAACTCGGCAAGTTTTCTGTGTGTGTCGTTGGATACATCAGGCTGGCTGGCCCTGGCAGACCCATCTTTCAAGTTGAGCTTTCCATTGAGACTAAATCTGCAAAGAGCCTTTCCCAGGCCCCATCCAGATCCAGACTCAGGTTCTCGATTCTGCGTGTCGTGCTTAGAGATCAAAGAAACCAAATCCCTCAGAGTTGAGCTGTCATAACCTGTGTGCCTGCTTCTTGCCTGGGGTCAGAGATTCAAAGATGATTAAGACAACTTTTCCCCTCTGGATGCTTCCTGAGCCACAGCAGTTGTCTAGTCCATTTACAGTAAGAAAGGGGAGGAAGGTCTTGGACCAATGCGGACAGGCCTGTAGAAAGTCATTCCCCATCGCCCTCTGGCTCACATAGAGCTGGGGTCTCAGCTGCAGCCTAGAACTTGAAGGTGGCGGCCTGTGATTCACCTGTGTCCAGGCCCACTCTGTGGCCAACCTTTCCCCGAGGAGCACCTTTAGCTGTTGCAGTAATGGCCATGCATCTGTCCCCAAGGGTTCTCTCCCACTCCTATGCTCCACCCTTCATTAACAGTCCGGCACCCCTTGGCACTGGGAGTTCAACCCACACGACCCTTTGTCTCTTCACAGACTCTTTGGTGGGAAGCCTACCAAGCAAGTGCCCATCGCCACAGCTGAAAACATGAAAAACTCAGTGGTCATCTCCAATCCTCATGCCACCATGACCCAGCAAGGTAACCTAGACTCCCCGTCAGGCAGTGGCGTCCTGAGCAGTGGGAGCAGCAGCCCTCTCTACAGTAAGAACGTGGACCTCAACCAGTCTCCTCTAGCCTCCAGCCCCAGCTCAGCCCACTCGGGCCCCTCCAACAGCCTCACCTGGGGCACCAACGCCAGCAGCTCCTCGGCCGTTAGCAAGGACGGCCTGGGCTTCCAGTCCGTTAGCAGCCTCCACACCAGCTGCGAGTCCATTGACATCTCCCTGGGCAGTGGAGGGGGACTGAGCCACAATTCCTCCACTGGCCTGATCGCCTCTGCTAAGGACGACTCCCTGACTCCCTTTGTCAGAACCAACAGTGTGAAGACCACACTGTCAGAAAGGTTGGTGTCGTGCCTCTGGCTGCCTGCATTGCTCAGAAAAACCGCCCTTCCAAAATTAAGTAGATTAGGCTAGGAATCCCAAATGTCAATTAGCCTTTGCCTGTGAGATTTCTCTCTTTCTAATTACTGCTGTCTTTCATGGGGAAGCCGGTGTGGGATGGAATTAAGCTTGGCCCTGCTCCCTGTTATCTGTTTCTCTGTGATTATGTTCTTGGTGCTTGGAGCTGCTTGAAGTCTCTTGGGGGCAGGTGTATGTTACCATTGGAAATGGCATTCAGCTTTTGAAATCTTTCCATTTTATTCTGTTTGTTCATCAACTGCTTCTTTCCCCTCCTCTTGTAACTGCACGCAGAGGAGGTGACCAGGTGCAGCCACAGAGTGTGTGGCAGGATGCTCTTTAAGCACCTGGGTAGATTTGGTGGTCATCGTGGCAAACACCCTCCTACTGAAGAGCTGCTGGCCATAGTGATAGGAAATCAAGAGACTGAAACATGTGCTCAGAGCCCTAGATTTCACTACAGTAGTGATGTGTGCTCAGTTTCTGCACATAGGGAAGCAAGCCAGGATCAGCACAGGGAATGAGAAAAATGTTCTAATCGTTGTGTGTAACACCTCTCCTTTCTTCCAAGCTAATGGTCCTTCTCTTGTTTTCTACCTGCCTGGACTTCTAGCCCTCTCTCTTCCCCTGCTGCTAGCCCTAAGTTCTGCAGAAGTACTCTGCCCAGGAAACAGGACAGGTAATGACATTCTAGGCCGGGGACCCATCCAGCCTCCAGGTTCCTCTGCCCGTCTGTTGTCAAGCCAGATGTCTTGTGTGAGGCTGCTGGCCTGAGGCTTCCGCTTGTGCTTGTGGCTCTAGTGTTCTCTGTGACACCCAGACATGCCAGTGAGGGTCTGTTCCACTGTCTGCTAAAGCCCTGGGAGAGGTGGAGTTGGGTTGACTCCTTCATTCCCATTTTGGGAAGGCGACCTCAAACCTTTCCACTTGGTCTGGGGTGGCAGAAGCTCTCACTTGCATCTCCTGTGGCCTCGTGTGGCATGCTCCTGCTTCCCAGCTTCTCCCCATGCCTTCCCCGCAACACACACCCAGAAGCGATCTACCACCCACCGTGCAGCGTGGCCTTCACCTCTGTCCCCCTCCCCGACTCCCCCGCACAGCTGGCTCTTCTCCCTTTCCAAGTCCTTCACTGCAGTTTGGCTCGTTGTGTCTTGCAGACTGTTGTGTTCTGTGTGCCCATTTCCTGTAACGATAACGAAAAAAAAAAAATATGTGGAGTCTTAAGACTTTACGAATAAAGGTGCTTGTGATTGCCCCCTCAGCTGTGGGTGGGCCTTGGAGGTGGCTATTGACCTGAAATTTGTGGGGGAGCGATGACTCTGCCAAACATAACAAGCAGATGTTGTTTCTTGCTAGGGGGGAATAAAACACCCTCTTCACCCCATCAACAGCAAAAAACTTTGTTTTTGTCAGACTCACAAACCAAGCCTTTAAACTCTTGTTCTTTGGAAATCCAAATGCCTTGACTTTATCAGCAAGCTGTAACATGCCCTGACTCGGGCCCAGGGTTCAGCTCCTAGCTACGCCCAACAAGGACCGCAGAAATTGAGGGAGACCTGGAATTTACTTTGTTACAGATGAATTCCAAGTATGCAGACTGCTGGCCTCTTGAAACCTCCAACAAGTCCCTTCACCCACTTGAAGTCATTGCCAGGGGTATTTCAGGTGTAGGCTGTGTTAGGGGTGCACAAAGGATGGCACCCCTCTCTCTGAAAAGCAGTGGTGGGGTGCAGAGAAGGCTGCTGGGCAGCAAAAGGCATGGGCTCCGCTTCTAGGTGGGGCAGCCCCTGAGCTTTGCCTTGAGCCTATGGAAAAGGAGGAGCCATTGAGGTTAAGCAACTGAGGCCTCCTGGTGACTTGGGGTAAAGTGTGTACTGGTGTCAGCTCAGGCCAGGCCTGGGTTTCTTTTGTTTTCTGTGGATGTGAATGTGCTGCGTTGCATGCATAGCTGGATAAGGGCGCGCTCCCTGGTGATGTAAGTCTCTTCCTCCAGGGCCCTTCAGCCCTCCCTAGCCTCCCCCTTCACTTTCCCTCCCCCTTCACTTTCCCTCCCTCCCCTGTGCTTCTCTGAAGTTCTTATTTTTGTTTTAACTTTCCTACAGTGACCCGCACCTTGATAGGAACACTTTGCCTAAGAAAGGACTCAGGTATCTGTGTTTCCTCCTTGCATCCATGCCATCTGTTGTGGCTTTGGAGCTTGGCTGTGTGACTCTCTCGTGGCTGGTGGGGGTTTGGGCTGTGCTGGGGTCCCCGCTTTGACCAGGGCAGCAGGACCCTTTGGATGATGCCCTCCCCCACCCCACCCCCCACCCCCCGCCCCCTGCACCCTCACCTCTCCATTCGTTGGCTTATTTGCTTGAGCAGGGGCTGTGCTTTTTCAGGCTTAATGTGATCAAACCATCTCATAGAAAACATCCCTGGGCAAGCCCAAAGAGCAGTCGCTGCTACTTCTGGGGCCAGTGGGTTTAATCTCTGAGCACTTCACCATGACCATTCTGTTCACATGGCTGTCTTCCAAGAGAAAGGACGTGACTTATAGCATGCTGATCCATTAGCTAGGACAAGAGCAAAGGAGGTGAGGAATATTTTCCCCAAATTTGAAAATGTTTGACTTTTCAGCCCATTAAAAAATTGCTAAAGACAAATACTTTGCATTTGTCTAAATATTCTAATTGAAAATTGGGTCCACTTTCAGTGCCCAGCAAGACATGGGTGTGATCATTTTTTGGTGAAAATAAAGACAAGACTCCCAGGAAGGAGTGTCCTTTTATTCCTAGTAAGTGGTAGCCTGGGCTCATTTTTGGTGCTAGTCCTGGTAAGACGAGATGCTATAAGTCACCATTGCTCACACCATCTACATCACTTTGCCAGCCAAAGGAGCTTCAGTTTGCTAATGCCTCCCCCATGATCTTACTGTCTTATGGTTGCAGCTGTCATTTCTCCTGCTTTCTAAACACCTCGTTCTTTGTAGCATCAGCTTCACCCTGCACTAAGCATTAAGTGCTTTTGCATAAAATGGAACTTGGAATGAAATGTTTCGTTGCTGTCATGTGTGTCTATAGTTAATAACCCGCAGCTCTTAAGACTGAGAGCATTTTGAACAGTAACATGAGGTAGGTATCAATGCTTCCTTTCAATAGGGAACTCTGAGTAAAGCCCATTCAAAGAATCTAAGAAGCAAAATATTAAAATCTCCCAACACACATCCTGTGGAAGGGAGTTCGGACCTGTGGCCTTAAAGGGGAATTGGCAAGGCCTTTTGTACTGATCAGTTTCCATTGGGACCCTGGGGGCTGCTTGTTGGCCACCTTGCTGGATGCTTAAATGACAGCCACTCTCAGTACGAGTTTGACTTTAATGTCCCATGGGTGTGCCCTGAAAGGACACTACCCCTAAATATTAACATTTCAAATGATGTGTATATTTCTGTAGCAGATCTCTCCTATCAAAATTATATAGCTCTGGCCTTTTAAAATTAGTGGTTTAAAAATTCAGAATAGGGATACAAGACATGCTGTTTTCAGGTCATTGATGCGTCCTGGGAAGTTTCGTGTCCATCAACTGCAGTAAAAGCATTGAGGAGGAAACAATGCTGCATTCCCTGTCACTGTGACTCTCCTGCCCAGCTCCCTCCCTCCCTCTAGCTCACATAATGCCAACACACCCACAACACCTTTTTTTAAGCCCAAAGAATCACTCTATTTACATATAGTACATAAAACGCAGTGGTACCCTGGCTGCTTGGGCACTCAGAAATTCCAGGTGCTGCCTGTGGCCACAGTGAAAAGAGCATGGATTTTGGAATCAGGCAAACATAGGAATTTCAGCTCTGTGACTCAGGGCAGGGTCCTGCCTTTCCTGAATGTGAATAGGGATAGTGGCATCTGCATTGCTGAGCAGGTCTGAGGCTTCAGTGAGATAACTTCCATGAAGGCCCCTAGGATGTCATAGATGCCCAATAAATCATCACCAGATGCATTTCAGAATAAATGAGGAGGTGGGTCGCATAACTCCTGAAGACCCTTTCCTGTAAAACCCAATAATTTGGGGCTCCTTTCGTGAAGACTTGCTTATGCGTGATTGCAACAACTGCTTCCAGCATCTGTGTCCTGGGACCTCCCTTTCCATGTCCGCTTTCCCATGTGCTGCGATTCACGCCACTTATTTGTGCCATAGAGTGCAGATGCTGTGAGTTATCTAATTAAAACTTCCTCAGAGCTCTAACAGCAGCTCGTTTTGTTGCTTCAGTCCCCTCAAGGTGGGGGCTTTGACGTGACACTGTCATGAATCAACATGTTACAGAAACGCCCAGTGACGGCTCTTTTGAGCATTTACGAATCTTCCTCCCTTTATGTGTTCCCTCCACACGGAAAGCAATTGTAATTTTCCCCAAACGCTGCCAAGTAGCAAAAAAGGTTTTGAGAAACTTCGTAAGTTTCGGGGTGTGTAGTGATCTGATTTTTTAAAACAAATAATCTTTGGATATATATTTTTTTCTTTTTATGTATTTGCCATCAACCCCACGGAATTCATTTTCCTAAGTGTTGTTCGTAGTTCATTCCAGCTTGATTTCTGTCTGTCCAGGTATACTCCCACCTCCCAGCTTCGCACGCAAGAAGATGCAAAAGAATGGTTACGGTCCCACTCTGCAGGAGGCCTGCAGGACACGGCTGCAAATTCCCCTTTTTCCTCTGGCTCCAGTGTAACTTCTCCCTCTGGAACAAGGTTCAACTTTTCCCAGCTTGGTGAGTAGCCACTTGTCATTAGCTGTGTTGTTCAGCTCTGTAGGGCAGAGCTTATTTGGTGTTTTGAAATAGACATGTGGTTCTGCCCCTCTCGACATCTGACCAAGCCCTCAGCGATATAGTTTGATTACAGGAGAATTGATATCAAAAGAAATAGAGAAAACAGCAAAAATTTTGGTACTCTGATCAATTTTCTGTCTGTAGCTGATTCAGGTAGGGTACTGCAAAGAGCAAATCATCCCATTTTTGAGAAGAATGCATTCTATTTTTAAGATCTCTGAAGAAGCAGGGTTTATAGCATACCCCATGTTTGGTGATCCTCATTGCTTTAGTAAGCTGGAAATAAAAGTTAAGCTTTGACCGAACAGGTATTCTTAGAAGTGCCGACTGCTGACATAATGCTTGGGCTGGCGCAGTGGGGAAAGGAAAAGGATTTTTAACACAGTCCCTGCTGACATGTCAGTGGATTCTTTTTTAGAGAGACGAACACACCCCCATGCAGACCCGTAAAGCAGGGTAAAAGAGAACAGTCCAAAGCTTTATATGAAACCCTGTAAAAACTGACTGGAATCAGATAAGTAGTAGTCTACACAGTTAGCGAAAGGAAAGATCGGTGCTGGCTGGAATTACAGACAGAGGTTATGTGAGGGTGGCAGGATGGGAGCTGAGCCCCGGGGGACTGATAGAAGGAAAGTCTTTTCCAGTCTCATCTCACTCTTTAGAGAGGCAGCCTTTTCTGATTATTGTGAATAATAAATTCAGAGGCTTTAAGGATCAATGTAGTTTGTCATCAAGTGAGGTTTAATTCTTCATTTTTGATTGGCTAAATGAGTACCTCTGAAAATATTGTACATTACTAAAACGGACAGACTTTTCTTAAGAAAGCTGGTTTTAGCTATGGCAAATGCACCTCCTTTGCATGCAAGCTTTTTATGCAGTGTTCCCCATCTGAGGCCATGAGACAGACCTGTGTTCATATTGTTCTTTCCCAGCCGTAACTCTTTGAGGCAAGAGATTCTTGTCATGCACAAATGCTTCCCATCTGATCAAAAGCCTACTTGGACTATTTTGGGCTTTTGGCTTCAGAGAGAATCGTTCCAGATGAGCCTGGGGAGTAATTAGCTCATGCCTGGAAGGTGACACTGGCCTGTCTGAACGTGCCAAGTTGGAAAGCCGGAGCCCAGAGCCTTGCTGTAGAGCTGACCCGCCTTTCCACCCTTATTTTTAGCTCTCAGTGTGTAACTCGAATGCTGATGCGACTACCTTTTAGAAAATAGGCAGGGGAGAGAAGTTGGCAGGAACGCATGTGGCTGACAATAAGCAGCCTCCTCTTTGTCCCCATCCAGGATTTGAACAGAGACATGAATTTCCAACATTTTGATCCCATTCCTTTCATTCCAGCGAGTCCCACCACTGTCACCCAGATGAGCTTGTCCAACCCGGCCATGCTGAGGACCCACAGCCTGTCCAATGCCGACGGGCAGTATGATCCGTACACGGACAGCCGCTTCCGGAATAGCTCCATGTCCCTGGATGAGAAGAGCAGAACCATGAGCCGTTCGGGCTCGTTCCGGGATGGGTTTGAAGAAGGTAAGGAAGGAGTCTCACCTTCTCCCAGGTTATTCCATGTGGTTAATGGTCCTCTATGCTAAGCTCACTTCGTTGACCTGCGAGCCCACGTGTAAGTGCTTGCAACTCTCCCACCTACACTGGGGGTCAGGTATGGGGAACACTCAGTAGTAAGGTCTGGCCCTTAGTTAACCTTTCAGGACTTCAGGGAAGAGGCTGCTGAGAAAACACTGATGAGCCATAGCACTGACTGAGTTCCGCTCTAGGCGCCTCTGTCCTGGACTTGGGCCAAGGCTTCTTGGCATGCGCCTCCATCTTGAGGTGCAGACACTGGCTCCCCATCCTGGCAGAGGGAGTTGCCAGAGAGCTCACTTCCCTGTGCCGACACTCTCGTGTAGCTCTGAGGGGCTGGGCAGACATGCCTCTCTGTTCTAGAATTTTCTATCTCTTGTCTCAAACACCAGTGTTTCAAGTTGATTGTGTTCTGTTATGCCCTTTTCTTTCTTTGGTTGCTAACTGTGAATATTTTGGGGGTTGGGTTTTTATTAATATGTTTTGTTCATTTTCATCAGATTTGTGAGAAAACAATTCTATGGTCAATTTTGCCAGCCATCTTCACAGCTCATTTGGTTTCTCCTTCCCTTTGTTCCTTCACCGGAGGTGTGAGTTAGGGGAGAAAGCTGTCAAAATTCTGTGGGGGATGTCACCCCAACCCTGCGAAGATGGGGCTGATAGGACATTGGAGGCTTATGGCCCAGTGCTTGAGAATATAGACTCAGACTAGCAGGGTGTGAGCTTTAGCTCCACTACTTCTTAGGTACATGATCTTGGGCAAGTTGCTTCACCTCTCTGTGCCTCTGGATTTTCACTGAGAAAATGAGACGAATAATAGTATTCAGTGCATGGAATTATGAGAATTAAATGAGATAATACATATAAATGCTAACACAATGATGGTATTACATGTCATAGCCTGTAATGACACAGCTTATAAAGCTGTAATAACATAGCTGTCAAAACACAGCTTCAACATTGGCTTCCTGGCAGCTCAGAGTCCCCGGTCAGAAGATGGGGACTCTTGGAACAAATAGAGCCCAAGCTGAGGACCATACCTCTAGTTGTGCCTTTTTCACCAACGACAAAACAGAACATGGAGGACATGTCATAGGTGCTTCCCCATCCCTAGGAGAGTGGGGAAATATGGCCAGCATCCTCCAGGAAGGAAAGAACAAACTTGTGATTGTTCAGGAAATCCCAGGTCAAAGGGAGAAAAATACAAGATACAGGCTTCTGCTTTTGCCTTGTGTTCCTTTTAACAAAAGTTTTCAAGAATTTAGTTACAGAGCAGTTGCCCGCTGGAATCTTCATACTCTCCACCCTGATTTATGTATCATTTGCATCCAGTGACGTCCGGTGAGCAGATGCAAGTCTGCAAATCCATATATGGGAACCTGCTGGGCCAGAGGATTCAGGAGGGGAGGAGCCTGAGTAACTGAGTGTTTTTGCTAGATTTAAGAGCTAGAAATTAATGCTATAACCACTCAGCAGTAATAGCGGAGGACATATTATGACCTTAAGGTGGAGGAGGAGGCAGTTTGTCTTGAACTTTTTTCTTGTTGGTGTGCCGGCCAAGCATGACCACGGAGCGGTTCCCGGCCTCCCTGGTGAGGACTTGCGTATGGAGCTTGCCCTGCACTGGATTCATCTTCTCTGCCGTGTGTATACCTCGGTGAACCACACTCAGTACTGAAACTTGTCCAAACAAGCACGCTTCGCCTCATAAAAGCCCAAGACCATTACAGAATCATTGTCAGATAGCTTTTATTTATTCCATCTGGAATCAAGCTGGCAGGCAGCACAACTGCAGAATATCTGGGATGTCAAAATGACATTGATAAAAAGTGCTTGCCCATAAGCAGTGTCTAGACTTTTGTAAACCTAATGATTCATGGTGACATGGAACTGAAGCACAGGGGTAAAAATCAAACTTTGGGGGAAGGGGTAGGGACTGCTGTCGATAGACTATGAACACATAATATTTTCATGTTTGGGGAAATTTGGCATCAGATGGGTTTTATTTCTTCCAAGGCTATTACAGTACAAAACCAAAATAGGGCTTGTGTAATTAGGTGTTTTTTTAATTCCTTTGAGTAAAGACTGTTTTTTTTTTCTTTTGAATTTATAAATTCCCAGCATTACAGAAACAGTTGGGGAAAAATTCACATCTCATGTTTGGTGTATTATGTACAATACAGCAAAATAGAAATATAGGAAGAATTAGCACAAGTGTTTGTGTGAAGTGTTTGTGCAATTTAATTAGCACTTCCCATTTTGAAGGAGGTGGGAATCATAAATATGTAGATTAGGTACAGGCATGGCCCAGATGCAGCCTTTCAAAGTTATTTCAGGTAAATTAATTTCCATCAGATGCATTATGCAATCTTAAAGTCAACTTTAATAGCGTACATTTAGGAGGATGCTTGAGGTGTTTTTAAAATGGATGTCTAGAGAGAACAACTCCCGTGATTTCAGCAGTCATCAGTAAGAGCCAGTGCAATCTGAAACACAGAGACCCCCACTGTATCAGTTTATACGAAACCCACCGGAGAGAGCAGCTTACTAATAAGGGAAGCTTGTATTGCAGCTCTGCTGTGTTTCTAGCTGCTGCGTGACCTTAAACAAGTCACTTGAATCTATAGTTGTGATTCAAATTCTGGCAACAGTATGACTCTGGGAAGGAACCTGACCCTCCCTGCTCAACCTGTTCCCTGCTCGCTAAAATATGGAAAATAATTGTACCTGCGTTGGAGGATTGAAGTGAAGATTAGGTGAGATAAATCCTGGAAAGCATTTAGCAAATAACTTTGAAAGGGGGCGGATTGTAAGTGCTCAGTCAATGGTAGCTATTGTTATAATTATGTTATATCCTTCTCCCCAAGGGCCATTATCACCCCCATCTCTTTTAATGGTGCAATTGAGGCAGAAGTGGCTTGGAGATGTTCTGCAGCTAGAACAATGTCCTAATAAGCCTTTTGCTTCCCAGCCCTCTGTCTTTCTACTCAACCCTACCTTGACATTGGGCTCAGGTGGGGTGTTTTGTTTTGTTTTTTAACCTGTTTGAGGCAAGCCCTGATCTTTCACCTCTGTTTTTATTATGCTTCCTTTGAGAGGCAGGGCAGTCCGTTAGCCACTGGAACTGTGGCTAACGGACTGCCACATTCTCCGTGGCTCCTTCCACAGTACCCAGCTCCTGACCAGCTGTGTGTGTGAGCTTATCACTTAGCCATTCTCAGCCTTAATTTATTCTTTTGTTAATTAAGGGAGGAAACTCCTGCCTAGTCTGGGATTGTTACCTGCCAATTCTGTATGATGATGAAGGTCAGAGGCACTTAATTACTTTATTGACTGGAATGTGCCCAGTTGTTTCATTCTATCTAGTGATTTCACCCCCACCTAAAGCATCTTTCTTAAACATCAGTCCTGACTTGTGTCTATATGTAGATTGCTTGAAGGGAATAGGAAACCACTCTAAAAAACACCAAAAGGCTTTAAAATAAAAAACAAAACGGAAACTAGTAAACCAGATCTCTCAAAGGCAGAGCGGTCTCTAGACTGACTTTTTGTCAGCAGATTCTATTCCTGAATTGCTGTGTGACCTTAAGCAAGTGATTTAACTTTTCTGAGTTTCAGATCTCCCAGTGGCAGAGGTGGCCTAAATATTCTCTGTGGCTCCTTGTAGCTGAAAAGTTTGGGAGGTACAGATACAGGGAGGAAAATCAACCTGGCTTGTTTTCGCTGTTTGGCTCTGTAATTACAATAAGCATGTTGTTGTCCAAGAGTATTCACACTGCATAACCCAGGCTCTGACTTGGCTCTGTTCGCTTGAAGGAGGGCCAACTGCAATGGTTGAGGCAAGCCACATTCATCTGGGGGTTGACTCTGGAAATCAGGGAATTTGTTTCTTTGGAACACAGCCTTGCTGTTGCTGTTTACCAAGTGAGAGTAGTTAATTACAGGAGAAAAATAATTACCTCTACCTGAAGCCTGCCAGATGTGTTCTTCTCTGCCTGTGGCCCTAAGTTTGCACTGAGTTGTTACTAAAACTGTGTCAGCCAGTTTATGTGTATAAGATGTAGAGATATAAGAGAAAAACACTTCCATTTTCCAACAGCTGAAGGTCATAGAGCAGCCCAGTGCAGGCCACTGGAGCCAGCCCCTGGCGGGACAGTCATGCACGTGTGATTGAAGGGCGGTTGCACGTTGCCCACATCTCTTCACCCAACTTGGCCTCCAATATAATCCCTCCACTGTTGTCTGTGTCGTAGAGCTGAAGTAACTTACCTCCTTGGAACGTTAGGCCCTTAGGTTGGGGCATTGGAAGCCTCTGTTAATGTGTGGACATATTAACATTGAAAGCCATTATTGGCCATTAACACCTTAAACTGATTTTTATGGGCATGAGTCAGATTGGTCATGGATGGAGGAAAAGATCTAGAACTCAGGGCATTGCTAAGGCGGGTGGATGTAAGTGATAGTACAGGGACCGCTTCAGAGTGGTGCCCCTGCTAAGAGAGAAGAGGGCGGGAATGGCAAGCCGAGTTCTGTGGGTGCAGAGGAAAGAGGAGGCCCATCCAGGTGGCAGCCAGGGAAATAGAGGACAGGCTCCGTGGAGAAGATATTTGAACGGGTCTGATTTGGATAAGCAGTATTTAGATGCAACCTAAACCAAGAGAACTGCATGGGCAAAGACTCTATGGTGGGGGGAGTATTATCTAGGGCATGCTTGGGAGAGAAGTGCAGGATTCGTAGCGTGATAGGAACATATAAAGGAAGAATGGGAGGGAAAGGAAGGTTTACTGGAAAAACAGTAGAGATGTTGCCTGAGTGTTAGGCTGAGTTGCTCATCGGCTATCTCGTTGGCAGGTAGCTTCTGCCAACTGCTAATCCAGCATGAGTTCACTTCTTGGGTGGTAGGTGAATGCCATTGAGCACAGGTGGAAAGTTACTCTCCAGCCTCCCACTTTCAGACTGCAGGTCGTAGCGCAGTGTAAGAGTAGAAGCATTCCACCCACGGTCAAGAAAATTGTGCCCAGTTAAAAGGCCTACAAAGGTAGGAAACACAGGAATATTTCTGTCTTTCAAAGAGGTTGTCAAGAGATTACCAAGAAACTAAAGAATTTAGTTCCCAAAAAGAGAAGGCAGCCAGAATACATGGTCCCAGCAAAGACTATGATTTAAAATTAAAACAAATAAAAAATGTCTCTACTGGCTGAAGGCAGGAAGGGGTGCTAAGGGTATACAAGTATGATTCTAGTCAAAAAGCAAAACAAAAGGGGATACCACTTGTCACTTTCTAGACATAATAGAAATCAAAGAATCTATACTTCAGCGGATCTGTTTTCTAAACAAATATTCTGCTACACAGTCATCTAGAGTGAACTGACCGTGACCAACAGCCTCTTAAATTCAAAATAATCAGTTCATCTTTTTGCATGTACAAGGGACAGATGCTAGCAGGGTAAGATATACATGCAACCCAATCTGAACCCAAGAGGAATACATTAGAAAAAAGGGTAGAATAAAGTATGCTGGAACGGTAACAGGTTGCTTCCAGGTAATGGAATTGTGAGTCACTGTAGGTTATGACAGTGAATATGCTTCTTAGCACTCTTCTGTACTTGAACATTTTTTTTCAGTAATCATATGTTGTTTGGTAGTCAGAAAAAAAATGTAGAAGTTTATAGAAAAAAATGTAATAGAAAAGTGACTTCCTTAGTAAATTATCCGTTACTTGTCATTGACCTGTCACCAAACCAGGAGAGGCTGGGTCAAGGTGAGGAGATTAAGTCGTTCTAAGCCTGCTAGTGTCCTGTATTGCTGATTTTCTCCTTCTCTCCCCTCTTTTTGGTTCCATAACAGCCAGCTGTGCAATTCACCTTTTCTTTTTTTCTTTCTCTTTGTTCAATAGTTCACGGATCCTCGCTCTCCTTGGTTTCCAGCACATCGTCAATTTATTCTACAGTGAGTATAAATCAGTGCTGTGTGGCTGTGATCGTGAGAGCTAGGGTTCCTTTATTATAGCGGTCCCCAGAGCACCAGGGACTGGTTTTATGGAAGACAGTTTTTTCACCAGGGGTGGGAGGGTCAGGCTGTGATGTGAGTGATGGGGAATGGGTGTAAATACAGATGAAGCTTCGCTCGCTTGCCCGCGCTCACCACCTGCTGCTGTGCAGCCCGGTTCCTAAGTTTCATGGAAGACAATTTTTCTACAGACAGCCGGGGCAGTGGGCAGTGGGCAGTGGGGCGTGGGGGGAGGGCAGAGCTCAGGCGCTGATGCGCAGCCCAGTTCCTAACTGGCCACAGACTGGTACCCGGGGACCGCAGCTCTTTATTAAACATGTCAAGAATAAAATGTAAACATTTCGCCTAGAGAGAGCATTTCCATCATAGGGGGATCAATTAACTGGAGAACAAGATTTGAAATTCACAAACAGCTATTAATGTACCAACCTAAAAAATCAGGAACTAGCTGCTTTGTTAAAGTGGCATCATGATTTGGGTGGTAACTAGTCAGGATGTGTGAGATGCCTTGGCCACCTGCTGGTGGACTTGGAAAAGAAAGGCCTTGTGCAATTTATTAATCTTCTGTCTGCCTCAGTTTCTTTATCTGTAAAGTGGAAATGATAATAGTCCCTACCTTATAGAGCTGTAATAAGGATTAAATGTTATGAAGGTTACATTTCACTAGAATTTAAACTCCTTGAGACAAGGACTTTTTGTTTTTATTCCTTGTACCTAGAACAGTGCCAAGCACATAGTTAGTGTTCAAAAATAGGTTTGAAAGAAATATGAAAATGCATATAAAGCAATCAGTACAGCTCAGAGTAAGCTCTTCTACATGCTAGCCATTGTCAATGAGAGGTCTGTTGAACAAAAGCCAGTGTAACCAAATACAATTGGATTTTCAGTACTGGATTTGATTTTTTCAGTACTGGATTTGTTCAGTAATTGTGAATTGAAAATTATTGGAAACAAATGTTTTAATAATTTAGGTTTTGATAATGCCGGGTTTCTGGGCTAGAGAGCAGGATAAACTATATGTAACCCCTTCAAAATAAGAGGCCATCCAACAATGAAGTTAAAGAGCCCAGGGCCTGGGCCGGGCACAGTGGCTCACGCCTGTAATCCTAGCACTCTGGGAGGCCGAGGTGGGCGGATTGCTCGAGGTCAGGAGTTCAAAACCAGCCTGAGCAAGAGCGAGACCCCGTCTCTACTATAAATAGAAAGAAATTAATTGGCCAACTAATATATAGAGAAAAAATTAGCTGGGCATGGTGGCACATGCCTGTAGTCCCAGCTACTCGGGAGGCTGAGGCAGCAGGATTGCTTGAGCCCAGGAGTTTGAGGTTGCTGTGAGCTAGGCTGATGCCACAGCACTCACTCTAGCCTGGGCAACAAAGTGAGACTCTGTCTCAAAAAAAAAAAAGAGACCAGGGCCTGATTGTTCTTTCTTAGGCTTATAGCAAACAGACTTTAGTGATTGCTAACTGCTTGGATTGCAAAGACCTAGAAACTCTTGCTTCTACTCCTATCCACCACACCTCTCCAACTCCAAAATTCCTCTTTGCTCAAGCTAATCATCTTGTCTGATATTTCATGACCAAGTCTTGGCTTTCCTTTTAAAGGCTTTATATAGAGTGCCTTAGGGAGGCACTCTATATAGAGATTAAGCCATTATCTACCAACAGAGCATAGAGATGGCCTTCCAGTTGTCAGCCAGCAGATAAACTAAGTTCTTTCTTCCAGAATGAAACTCTGAAGTATAGGTACCAAGGATGGGACTTCAAACCTAAATTCACTTCTTCAGCAATATTCACTGGCAACATGTAAATGTCGGGCTCTGGACTGATCCTTGAGGATAAGGTTTAGGAGAGAAAGGAGCCTGTCAATGAAAGAGGGAGCCAGAGACACCAGAGGACACCCAGGGACGTGGGACTCTGTTGTTGGGTGTAGAGCAGAATAGCAGATGTCTTAGTGCCCCAGCCCTGTGTTTTCCCTGTGGCGTTCCTGGGGTTCCTGTCAACACAGAAGGGAGTGGGCCCTTCTCAGGAGAGTAAAACCTGGGTATCTGGCCCACATTGGCCAGCCTTGGAGGGAAAGAGCATGAACTTCTCTACCTCGTGAGTATTCTGATCTAGGAAACTGTCACCTGCAATCCCTGGGCCAGCCCCTTCACACCGACCACTGGAAGCTCTTGCAGTGAAAGGCTCTCTTCTAGTAATTTCTATTCTGGGTCTGTGGACATGAAGATGATACTTTCATGAAATATGAAATTGTCCTTTCCAAGTTGACATAAATGCAACAATTACCAAAGACATAATAATAGTAATTTTTAATTCCATGTTTATCTGGATAGCAAGAGACCTGCAGTCTAATCTTAGTTTTTCTCACCATGTGACTTTCAGCAAATCACCTTGTTTATTCTGGGTGTCTCTCAGTTTTCCCTCTGCATCAGGAAGCTGAGCGAGGTGATCTTCCCGGGCCCCCATGATCTCTGACATTCTGTGAGTCATGGAGTCAGAGGTTCCCATTTGCCGCCCTCACGTGTGTCTTCTCTGAGACTTTAGGTTGCTTTTGCAGACTTTAAAAAAAAAATAGCCTAACATTTGAATGTGATCATGCTAGAGTGGTCTACTCATTTCAAGAAAAACTGCAAGTCTGGTTAGACTCTGCTACCACCTAGCACTGAAGCATGGTCGCTTACTTGTTATTAGTTTCTTGGTAATAATGAAATTCCAAAACACATGCCCCAGGCACCTTTGTAAATGTAAATGTGAACAAGTTCTTTTTTGTTGTCTAAAAAGAGATCTTTGCAGTCTCTTAAGTTGCCAAAGACTCAGAACAAGGAACTTGCTTAATAGCTGGAAGCTTTAAAGGCTCTTATTGGATGACAGTAGCTTCCTTCCTTAAAATCTCTGTAATTCTTAGATATGCAAGAATGCTCATTCTGCCTAAAATTTGCCCACAATTTTAATTACAAATGAAAGAAAGGATTACATGATGCTAAACAATTGCCGTGGAGAAGTCATGGACTTGGAGTAGAGAAAATCTAAGAGGCCACATCTGGCTTCAGGCTTGCTTCCTTGGTTGGCAGAGAGCAGTTGGGTTCCCAGGGAAGCTGCTGAACGGAAGGAGGCCCACAGCTTCACATAGTATTCCCAGATGTGGGGAAGAACAGCAGCAGCTGGGGGCAAGATGCAGAGCACATGATTTCTCCTGGCTGCTGTTGGTAATGGGGACCAAACCCAGGAAACAGGTGGGCACAGTGGCACACAGTGGCAGAAGCATGGGGAAGGACTGTTGATGGAAGTGTTTAGAACTGGTTCTATATGGATGTTTCAGCCTGCTAACAGGCCTCCACCAGCCTCCCAGATGTTAGCTAGCTGTGGCATTCTCAGCATTAACTTTTCTTCTTTGGATGAGGCTCAGGAGTCAGGGGCCTTATTTCTGGAAAGCCTCCATGAGAATTTAGCTATCATAAAAGAGCAGGAGAATGTGCTGATTAAGATCATAGGCTCTGGAGCCAGACGACCTTGGATGCAATCCCAACTGTCCTCACATGTGCCTTCTCTGAGATTGTAGGTTGTCACTTAACCAGCTGCAACCATGGGCAAACTATTTAACCTCTCTGTGCCTCAGTTCCCTCATATGCAAAACAGAAAGCAATAGTATTAGTACTTACACTAAGAGTTGTTACAAAGATTAAATGAACAATGAATGTAAAGTGGTTGGAACAGTCTGGCACATGATAAGCATTCAATAAGTGCCAGTTATTATTACGAGAATGTAAGCAGCATAAGGTCAGGGACCTGGTCATGTTCACAGCTGCATCCCTGTTTCTTAAAACAGTGCCTGGCACATAGTAGGATATCAATAAATACTTGATAGGTGGTGGAGGTGGGATGGATGGATGGATGGATGGATGGATGGATGGATGGATGGATGGATGGATGGATGGATGGATGGACGGACGGACAGACAGACAAAGAGGGATGCATGAGTATTACCTGGGAGGGAAGAGTGAACCCTGAGAATATCTTCCCACCTTCTGAAAGTATTTCTTAGATAAGGAGATTGTTCAGCTATGTGACTTTAGGCAAGACACTTTACCTCTTTGAACCTCAGAAGGAATACAAACAAACCTACTTTATTGGGGTTACTGCAAGAATTAAATTATTTGGCCACATGTATTTAAAAATTAGTTGCTGCTGTTAGGAGCCAGCCTGGAGGGAGGGCAGTGGGGAGCTCGGGGTGGAGATCAGACAGGAAGCAGCTGTCTACCTGCTCAGCTGATGGGTGCAGGGTCCGTGGGTTCTAATGAATCATACCCCTTTGCGTTCTGAGCTGATAGAAAAGGAGACGCTTAAACACTAAAAATCAGATGCTGATTTTTAAAAATAATGGGTTTATTGCTAGTGAAATTGGATTAGGACACTCATCAAGGACCCAAGGACAAAATGGGTCCTTACTGTTGTTCATTCAGCTAACTGGTTTCCAAGTCACTCTTTTGCCCTGGGGATGTTGGAGTGGTGGGTAGAGAGAGGGCAGGAACACTTCCACATTTCCAGGAAGTGGAGTGGGTGCTTCTTTATAGGCCCCCATGGGAACCAGAGGAGAGGGAACGAAAGGTTCCTGCTGCAGCAGGTTCCCACTACCCATGTGGGTTCCCCGTATGGGAAAAGATGGTCTCAGAGTTTCTGCCTGGCAGGAGCCTGTGTCACCGCAGACACAGAGCCAACATGGAAAGCTCTGCCAGTAAAAGGGACAACAAGATGAACCCCCTTACTCCCCAGGATCACAGGTAATTGGGAGACTTAAGGTGGGGCAGCAGGAAGATGAAGGTACATTTATCTTGACAACACATGGAGTTCCCAGCCTGGCTGATAGGGGCTTCCCTAGCCCTCCTGACTTTGAGGCCTTGCTGCCCTGCTGCTGTCCCACTGTAGTGCCCTAAGGAGGTGACAGGGAGGGATAAAATGGGGCAGAATTAATATAAGAGCAGTCTTCTTTTCTCCCTAGAAAGGAGTGCCAGATAAAATACAGAATACCCAATTGAATTTGAAATTCAGATTAAGAACAAATTCTTATTATAAGTATGTCCCTAATATTGCATGGGATTTACTTAGACTTAAAAATATTCGAATTTAACTGGGCATCCTGTAAATTGCTAACTCTAGCTCTTACCCTTCTCATCACATACATTTCCTGAGTGCTTTACCTTATCACTGTCGCCACACGAGAGGCAGGATGGCTCCTTACCAACCAAAGTATGGAGTGTTGCTCTAATGCTTCCTAAGTTTTAAAAGTAATATGCTGTTTGGATTTGGCCTTTGCGATGGGTCAATTTAATTGAGCCAGTCTATCTCAAGAAATATACCAGAAAAGAAACTAATAAATCTTCCAAACTGCTGCAAATATCCAAATATGGCGTTTCCTATGGGCTGGACTGTACTGTTCTTTCTTCCTCAACTCATCTAATTTCCTATATGTTTTCTTTATAGCCAGAAGAAAAATGCCAGTCAGAGGTAAGGAACAGTTTGCTGGTTGGATTTCCTTCCATTATTATGGATTGTTTTACCCGACTCAACCTGGAAACAGACTCCCAAAGCAAGTAACTCTGTCCCTTGTCATCTTTAGATTCGTAAACTGCGGCGGGAACTAGATGCCTCCCAGGAGAAGGTTTCAGCTCTGACCACCCAGCTGACAGCAAATGTAAGTACAGACAGGGTGGTAGCCATGGGATGGGAGGCATGTTCCTACTTTTGAGCATTGCCTCCAGGCCTCCTGTTTCTGAACGCGTAGAAGCAGCCCAGTGCAATAAAAAGGACACGGGCTGTAGTGCCATGGGCGTGAATGTCAGTTCTGACACTCACTGGCTTTGTGTAAGTTCGTTAGCCTCTCAGACTAAATTTGCTCATCTCTGCAATGAGGGTGATAAAGCTCTCAGAGCTGTCTTGTGTGTGATCAGTGCTTGCAATGTATTAAGTGCTCATTAAAATGTTAATTTCTCTCCCCTCTCCCCTTCTGAAAATTCTGATCTTAGGGGGGAACAAAACTAAAGCAAAAAAGGAAAGGAAGGGGAAAAAAAAATTTAGGGCTCTACAATAAACAGCCAGCTGCTCTGTCATTATAAGATACACCATTACGTGTTCAGGAGACACTGCCAACCAGCGTTCAGTTCAGCACTGAGTGCCAACTATGCCCTGGGCGCTGTGGGTGCAACAGCAAAGCAAAGCAGTCACTGGCTTCTCAGCAATCAGTCTGGTACAGTAGCTTGGTACAATTAGAATCTATGGCTGGGCTGTGGAGGAGAGATAGGGGTCAGAGAAAGAAATGAGGAGGAAGAAGCCCTTGGACAAAGGCAAGGGTCAGATCACACAGTGTGTGGGCTGGTTAGACTGGGAGTCTGGACTTCCTCCGGAAGTTAGTAGAGCCCTATCAGTGAGTTGTAAGCAAGCAGTGGGGTGGTCTTGTTTGCTTGGCTGTGGTGTGGATACAGGATCAGAGGGGTCAGAGCAGAGGCGGAAGTCTCCTGCCCCCTCGGCCCAGTCTGATAAGGAGCCATCTGCAGAGCTGTGACCAGGTGAAGGCTGGAACTCAGAAGACAAAGCCTGTGGTCTCAGAAGGTGCCAAGACACCTCTGAGGCAAGGCTTCCTGTCCTGGAGTTAGTTCACAACCCATCCTGAACCCACAGATAACTGTTTTCAAACCTGTAGGAAAGCAACCTACTTGTGTACAACATGCTATTAAAATGGAAAGCAACTTCAAAAGCTTGTCTTCCTTTCACCAGGAGTCAATATTCCAAATAATCATTTACCTGGAGTTTTTACTCTGGCATTCCCAGCTTGAGCCCTGGTCGACTCGGGGAAACCATTCCTCTTTAAGGTTTGCATGTGAATTACCCAGCACAGCGCTTGACCTTACTACACAGTCATTGGTAGCAGCCCTCATCATTATTCAGTCTCCTGAGTTCTCTTACATTTCTGGAAATCTTTGATTTTTTTTTTCAAAACCCCTAACATACTAGGCCACTGTGTGTGTTATGATTCTTTAGTTTTCCTTACCTCTTCTACCATCAGTAATGCTATCAAAAGAACTTCAGAAATTGATGTCGCAGTGAATTCTGAGGCTTAGATCCTATTCCAAAAAACAGCAGAGGTATTCCATGAGTAGATTCTTCATCTGGAGAACCAGATGTGTACATTTGAATCCAGAACAAACTCTGGACCCAGTGAGCCAGGTCTCCTGGGTATCATCCAACACGTGAGGTTTGATCCCTCCCCTAGTGATTCTGAGTTAAGAATTGCAGCTGCCGACTGCTGCCCTTTACTAATCCTCAAGTGGTAGTTAACTGACTTATTAGTGAACTTGGGTTAATTCCCCCACTGACCTCATGTTGCACAAGGAGCCTTACGCTGGGCCATTCGGAACTCTACTGTCTGTTCTAGAAGAGTCAGAGTGAGATCCCTTATGTTATTCCAGAAGTGCCTTTTGCTACTCATAAAAGCCATTGAATCCTGTATTGTTTTAAAGTAAATATTTAGTCTTGCCACACACCACCGGCAACACTAACATGTTTTATTGTCTGCCATTTTTCTCACAGACCAAGCTGTGTTTGTTTTTCTAGGACAAACTACTCAAAGCCACCTTCTCTGGGTGTTTTTATACCACTCGTGTTTGTTTTCCCTGGGAATGTGAGGATGGCGTTCGATGAGAAGGCCGTTGTGTGTCTCTGAGCCACGCTCACGACAGCCCTCTGACCTGTACTTTCATAATTGTGCTTATGACACAAAGGCAGCCCTTGCGCTTGACAGATAAATGGGATCCTCTGGTTCTTGAGAGCAAATGTGGTTTCTTCTTGAGCTTGCAAAAACACTTTCTCAATAGCAGTCTTCGTGGAGTCAGGTTTTTTGTTTTTGTTTTTAATTGAATAGAAAATATGAATGCCCACAACTAGAATCATGGGTGGCAATCATGAGATGCAGAACTGAAATAATTGCACATTCAGTCATTTAAATTAAACTTTGTCATTCTTTTGCAGTGCAGAGATAGCAAACGTTCTTTTAGGTATCCATGCTCTGGCCCGTTTCCTTCATCGACTATGTGACTATCTTGAACTGACGGGCTTTGATTTTGCCACGCTGTCCAGGACAAACCAAAGCACATCTTTTGATTTTAAAATACAGAGGCATTTTCTCCATTTTTAATAGAGAAAGATGGTACAGTCAGAAAGAAGGTACTAGCTATCTCACTTAACACTACAAGTGGCCCTGCTCCCTGCCAACAGTGGATCCTGGAGATGTCTTAGCCTCAACCATCCCTGCGTGAAGAAGTCTGATGACGGGCCTCTATTCACCCTTGAGACCCCTCTCTAGATTGACGTGTCACTGATCCTCCTCACAGCCCAGGACGAAGGCTCCCCCATTCTTATCCCACTTTATCCTTCACAGTGTGCATCAGTCATCTTTTCCTCTAGAATTTTCCAACAAGATCCAATCTCACTTCTCCCAGGACTCTACCCACGTATCCTCTGCTGGCTCCTGTCCTCGTCACCCTCTGTGTCTACTCTCCATCCCTTCACCTGTATTCTCAGAGACTATGACTCCTCTCTCAGTTTCTTATGTTACTTTCTCATTTCCAAACCTCTTTCCTTCCACAAGTATCCATTCATTCCTGTGTTTTGCAATTCCTCAGTGGTCCATAGACCATTCTCACCTGTTTTGTTTCATGTAGTGCTCAGAACAACCATGGGGGAAAAATAGATATTGTTATTTAATAGACGAAGAAGAAGCCAGGGCCAGGAGGATTAGATGACCTGCTCAGCATCACTAGTAATTGAAATGAGCTAGAATGAGAGCTGAAGACCTACGACTCAATATCCTGTTCCCTTCCCCTGTGCCACGCTGCCTCCTTCATCCAAGTGCTTTCTTTTCTTCTCAGTCCTTTATGTCCTCATCCAACACTCACTTATGGAGTGGCTGCTTTGTACCAGTAGTAAGGATACAGGTGTGCACAAGATAGACATGGTGTCAACCTTCATCAAATGTACAGTCTGGTGGCCCATTTCATCTGCTGCTCAAATGCCTCTAACAATAGGACGTGCCACTATTGCATTTATACAAGTGCAGTTTGGAGGTTAGAAGATCTTGGTGGGCTAACAGATTCTTAAATTGATTGCTGGAAGTTCCCTATCTTGACTGTGGAAAAAATATCCATTCTTTATTCTTGATTTTAATGACATTACCAAAATCCTCATTCAGCCAACCAGCATTTCAACTACAACTCTATGTCCCAGGCACAAGCTTAGTGTTGGGACACAAAGTTACCTCTTGTCCTTGAATAAAGTTGCAGGCAAGGGGGCAGGCAGGAAAAAAAAGCACATTTCTTAATTCTAGGATGTATTCTTTTTTTCACATTTTAAAATCTCTGAAAATTGGATGCATATTATAACTGGCAACACTTTAAATAATTTCTTAGTAATATATAAAATAATGGTGCATCTGATGTCGTATTCTAACAGAAGTCTCTAAAAGTGCCTGGGAGCCTGTGGGAAAGTGGCAACTCACTGGGGGAAGTAGGCAAGGTTTCTCCAAGCCCTTATTAACCAGGATTATAACAAGGAAAATATGCCAACCACTTCGTTCATTTATTCTGCAAACATACTTGATGTGAGTGTGTACTATGAGCTTAGCAGTTGGTGAACAAAAGATCATCTTGCAGGGTAGTAGAAAAGGCAGACATAAGTCAACAACCATGAGACTACGGGGTATTTTTAACTATGAAATCACAAAACATAGAAGTGCAGTGTGCTTATGAGAGTGAACATGACAGACCTAACCCATAACCCAGTCTGTGTGTGTCATGATGGCAAAAGCTGAGAGCTCTCAAGGTGGATGTGTAAAAATTAGTTAGGCAAGGAGAGGACTGGGGGGAAGAGCATTCAAGGCGGGGGGTGGGGGGGGAAGGATGGACAATGGCCCTAAGGTGGGAAGGTGCATGTGATGTTCGGGCAAGTACAATGCTGGAGTAACTGGACCCCAGAGGGAGGCAGGGAGTGGATTCAAGAGGAACCTGCAGGAGTAGACAGAGGCTAGATGAAGTGGTACCCATAGGTTTCTGTCTTTAAGACCCAGCGTGTTTTAGGCACTCTTGCCTTGCAAGGTAACAGAACTGAGGCTGTATCTTCCCCCTCCAGGCTCACCTTGTGGCAGCCTTTGAACAGAGTCTTGGAAACATGACGATCAGGCTCCAGAGTTTGACCATGACAGCTGAGCAGAAGGTGAGGCAGAAAGGAGGCTTGCTTCCCTCTTTGCTTGGAGTTGTGGACAAACCTAAAAATATTATTCTCTTTCCTTTCAGATCATTGTGTAGATTTTAATGTACTTCTTGAACTGTCAGAATTTAATTATAAAGAGTAGGTAGATCTGTTGAGGGAAAAGGTGGCTTAAACTGAGTGATAGTAATGGCATCAGTGACAGATCCTGTAGTCATATTCCTATTTCTCATGTGTTTGTTTATTCCCTTTGAAAATCTCTCCAACCAAGTGTGTGAGTCAGAGGTTTTGTTGAACTCCCTCGTTCCCTACCCTCCCGCATTGAAGCTCAGTTGAATTCTGCACAGAAGGGTTTTAGGATGACCAACAGTTCTTTCTGTTCCTCAGGATTCAGAACTGAATGAGTTAAGAAAAACCATCGAGCTGCTGAAGAAACAGAACGCAGCTGCCCAGGCTGCTATAAATGGAGTAATTAACACACCGGAGCTCAACTGCAAAGGTAAAGTAAAAGAAACAGCCTTTAAACAAACGACCTACCTGCCCTTAGGAGCCGTCCCCTGACAGTATATGATGCAACCTCCCTGCTAGAGGGCGGATGGCTGGATAATTCAACCCTGTGTCAGGTGTGCCGGTCCTAGAAGGCAATACACCTTTAATTAGGTCACTCTGGCCTGTGTGAAGATGACTATCATAGTTCATCTTCTTCTCTGACAGGTCTCAAAAATGGAAGAAAATACATTTCTATTGGCAGAGTGTTTTACAGCCCTTCATTTTACTAACACTTTTATATTTGCATGCTGATATGTGGGATAAACTGAAATAGTTCCTCCCTTATTTGTCCAGGAAAACATTTCTGAATGAATTGCTTTGTCCTTGTGTATCTTAGCTGGGGTAAACAGAAAGAATGTGGGTGTGCCGGTGAGTTTCCTCCTGCAGGAACAGTATTAACAGTAATAGTAACAGAAGCAGTATTGATAGCATTCATGGAACACTTACCATGTTCTAAACACCATGCTAAAGTGTTTCAATGATTTAATTTATCATCTTGTTTTCTTCCCACACTGTGAGTGTGATGCTTGTCCTTTCCTCATTGTACTGTTGAGGACACTGGCTTGCAGAGATGAGGGTCACTTCCTGAGGTCAGGGAGTAGTAAGAAACAAAAGTGAACGAGAACCTGAGTCTGTCTCAGTAAAACCGGTGCCCTCAAAGACCACGCCTTAGGTATAGTTCCATCCTCACGAGGAAAACCATCCGCAGGCTTTGTCGGATGTCGGTCATCTTCAGGGTCACTGTTCTCTTGGCTCTTGGGCCTTCTGAAAAAGTGATGATAGGGTTGAAACGGGAAAAAGTGATGATAGGGTTGAAACGGGAAGGGTTAGCAAGAGCTGGCCAGACAGAGCTGAGGGAAAAGAGCACCCGGGCAGAGGAACAGCACGGGGAAGGGCCCTGAGACAATGTGGGTTGGCACTGCCAGGGACTGCAGGAAGGCCACTGTGGCAGGACCCCAGAGAACGGAGGAGGGGCTGATGACAAAGGTGACTGCTGCTGTAGTTCACAAGCACACTCTCGAGCTGGTGTTGGGGAAATTCTCCCCAAACCTCCCTTGACTTCTGTTTTGTAAAGTGGGGGAAGGTAGACCTCATCGAGTTGACTAAAGAGGACCTAGCACCCACCTACCCAAGGATCTTAAAACCAGCAGTGGGAACAGAGGCGATGTCTGTGTAGAAAACAGCCAGTGCTTGGGTGTGTGGATGTCACTGGCGGGGCCATTCCCCGCAGTAGAGGACAGGGCTTAGGCTGGCACCTGCTCACGTCCCTCGCTCTGGTGTCCAGGAAACGGCCCCGCGCAGTCCACAGACCTGCGCATCCGCCGGCAGCACTCTTCTGACAGCGTCTCCAGCATCAACAGCGCCACCAGCCACTCCAGCGTGGGCAGCAACATAGAGAGCGACTCAAAGAAAAAGAAGAGGAAGAACTGGGTGAGTGTACCTGCACGCGCTCTCCCGGGGGCTGACCCACAGAGTCAGCCTCGCAGCCAGCAGCCCCCAGATAAAGCCCAGGCCAGCTCTCAGCTGCAGAACACAGTCCTTTGGACGTGGATCCAAAGAAAGGGTCTGTGGACAGGTTCTTACTAAAATCAATGTCGTGCTCAGCAAAAAACACTGGAATTTATAAAATCACCACCACTTCGTAGTTTTTTTTTTTAAATCTTTCATGAGACTTTATGTGAAGTACTCATCTTTCATTTCATATATGTGTCATTTCTTTCTCATTATATGTCCGCCACAAAGTTCCAGGTACTAGAACAAAGTGACTCTTAAGTGGTGTCTTCCTAATCAGTTCCAAAGTGCTTTTTTGAGCTTATATCACTAGTTATCCTATTGTTAACAATAATCTTTAGCTGTTGTTTATATAATTGCCTAGGATAGCATCAAACCAACCTGCTCTTTGAAAACTTTTTGACCATGTCCTATAAATAAAAGGTTCATAATGTCAATGTTAGGAGTTAGTGAGTAGCTTCAAACTGGGGATTGTACCCTGATATGGGTGAGTTTAATTAAATCAGTCTGTTGTAGTGTTTTCTCCATGTGTTTGTAATCCCAGTGAGCTACTTGAATTTCTGCACTATGGTCTTGAACAGTTTTCCCCACCCTACTGGGAAAGTTTCACCCTACTCAATCCCATCCTCAGTTTATAGTTTTGCCGTTGAGGCTGCAGAGCTCTGATGGACATTAGCTGCTCCCTGTCATTAGGCAGGAAGATCCCAAGGTGTTGGTTAGTGCTGATGGCATCATTTCCATAGTAGCTTCAGTGTCCTCATTCACTGTGTACACTTCTCACTCATTTTATGTTATCTTGGATGGGTGGCGAGGTCTGGTGACAAGTTAGGGATTTAGTCATTTCAGTCATTGATGACTTGCATTGGAAGCAGGCAAAAAAGGCAGTTCAGTGTGACCCTCTCCTCATTCTGAGTAACTATTTTTGTTTAAGTTACTAATGGCTTTTAGTCAACACATTTGCTGTGACTAAACAGAGAGGATTAACTCATCTTGCTCTCTCTGTAATACGCGATAAATATGGTCTGATTTCAAATTATCAATTTGATGAGAGAAATATTTGCTAAAAAGATTTGAAAAATAGTGGTTATCCTTCTTCTTGAATTCAAGAAATGAAACTTGTTTTTTGTTGCTTTAAGGTGACTTTTGGTTATCAGTAAAGTCAGGGAATAATTGGCATCCTCAGCTAATCCCAAAGCTTAATTCTGTCTAATCTTTGTAATCTCTTCTACCTGGCTTTTTACCGGAGGTAGAGGCAGGAATGTAGGTTGCTAGTCTGTGTGTCTGATCCTTCTGTTTCTGTGACTGCTCTCTGGAAACATGATCAGAAGGAGAAAGTGGGAGAGAAATGGAATCTAGACTTGCCCACAAGCTGGGCCTGCAGTTTGTGGTGGATGAAACACATCGATGGGAGGAAAACCTAATCGATTTTCAGAGTGCCCCATTTTCCGAATTTCTCAATGGCTAAGAAAACCCCCAGAATCTATTTCCATGAAGAAAAAAGGCTTTAGAAAAGGGAAATTACTTTTTAAAAGACCTTTTTTTTCCAAGATGAAACATTATTTTTTTGGCCCAGAAAAATAAATGCAGATGATGGCTTTCAGAGAAGACATTGCACTTTCATTCTTGATGTTCTCCTTAGAATTTTCAAGGCCATCTCATGGTCTGGGGAAATAGTGATATACTAATTCCTTTTTCCAAATAGAGTTAATACATTTCTTAAAAATGGATGCCCATTTTTTGAGTAACAAGTGAGACAGCTAATTTCCTGCTTATTAGATTATCTTCTTATATACGAGGACAGCAGGAATTCCTGAGTAGATAAGTCAAAGAGCCATGCAGCCATCCGGGGCCAGTGCAGCAGTAAAGCATTGCTCAGGATAGAAGGCATTCTCCTCCCACCAAATTAAAGCACAGAGAGATGACTGAGAACAGACAAGAGGTGAGAGGCAGCCGTTCCAACCAGACAGGGAGAAGCTGGGAGAACAGGAATTGTAGGGGACTCCCTCCCTGCTATCCCCTTCCCTTTATAATGGAGGAAGATGCCCCCAAAGCTTTTGATGACTCCTGCCCTCCCGTAAACCTCCTCTGTGTGTGGTGTTTATTATTAGCCATGTTGTGTCTGAAAGTCCGAAGCTTTCCCTGTCAGTGGCTTTATCTGTTAAAAATTGTCTTTTTTCCTCCCCCTTCCCCATTTTTGCTTGCATTTTCTCTGGCAGGTAAATGAGGTAAGCAAGACCGACTTTAATATCAGATACCAAGCTAACCCATCCATTGATATGACTAACTTCATCCGCATCCGTCACCGTGTCTGAGCATCCTGCTTTGTTGCTGTGTAACCTCCTCTTCCTGACATCCATCTGCTGAGCCAGGCCCTGTCTTGCTGTTGGCATCTAGTCTTGAGCCAAGAGTAGGCATGGAATGTTACCCACAGGTTCAGTCCTTTGAGCTGTCAACACCAGATAACTCTTCTTCCCTTAATGCACTGATTCAAGAGAGCTGTTGGGAACCTTTTCCACTGGTGGGGGGAAAGTGTGGGAGAACTAATAGCTTTCTTGTGTGCATGTCCCTGTTTTGCCAAGGCCTAAGCGTTGGCTGCAGCCCCCTCGAGGCTGACAGTCTTGTCTGTTCAGTTACGCAGCTCCTTCAAGCAAGCTTTTGGGAAGAAGAAGTCCCCCAAGTCAGCATCCTCTCACTCAGACATCGAGGAGATGACGGATTCTTCTCTGCCTTCCTCGCCAAAGTTACCGCACAACGGGTCCACAGGTTCCACCCCGCTGCTGAGGAATTCTCACTCCAACTCTCTGTAAGTCCGTCTGTCAAGGTCACTCTGGTCAAATGTCATCTTTGGCCTCTAGAACTCTGGAAAACAGGCCTGGTGAGGACTCCTGTTATGATACATCTGCTCCTTGGGATCCTTTATGTTTTGCCTCAACAGGAGTGTGCATATTCTTTCCGAGCTTTAGCACTGGGAGGGTTGAAAGAGAAAGGAAATAATAGGTTTTAGTTCTGGTGATGTCAGTGTCTGTAATTAGCTGGCTGGCCTTAAGCAAGTTGCTCAACTCTCTTTATTGCCATATCTTTATATGTCAAATTGGGATAATGGCGGTTGTCTATGTATTTTATCCTAAGGCTTGAACAAAGTAAATGAGTATAACAGCTTGCTTCCTACAGCAGTGAGAAAGGCTGCCTCTGCCCAGTAGGGCTGAGTGCCTTTTGAGACCATGGTGTACCAGGAACACGTTAGTCTGCAAGGGAAGTTATCAGCGAGACGAGACAGTGTCTGGGAGGAGAGGAGAGTTGTAGTTGTGGTCAGAAGAGCCACTGAGATAGGACTGGGAAAAGACCTTTGGCTGTATAAACTTCAGTTTCCTCATTTGTAAAAATGGGGTTAATTCCGTCTACCTCAGTGGATTCCTGGGAGGGCCAAGTTAGATACGGTGCATTAGGGCTTCTTTCTTCCTGTTCCATCTTCCTTCATTCTCAAGAAGCGGCGTCTACGGGGCTGACCCTAAGTCCACTTAACCGGCCAGCCCACTGGAGTCAGCAGCTTGCATAGGTGTCCTCAGGCTTTCCACTTGGGTACAGGGAGTGCAGGGAAGACCAGCCTGTCCAGAGGCCAGGTCTTTGTCACCTGCCAACTGTATGGAAGAGAGGAAATGGAACGTAGGGTCACTGCTTTTGAGCAGCCCCACCCGCCAGTGAAACATGGCCCTGTCAGGGTCTCCATTTCACCTGATTAGATTATCAGCTCCTCTTAAGGAGCACCCTAGTAGGAGGGTGGCCACGGGATGTGTACCTCTTTCCGTGGTGGGTGAGGGTAACAGACTGAGCTGCAGAAGGAAGGGGAGCCCTGAGGCACTGGACTGCAGCGTGTCCCTGCAGTGCCCAGCCCCAGCGCCGTGTGTTTTCTCGAGTGAAGGAGTAAACGAATGACTGAGAGAGTATGTGTGCTGTTAGACCTGCAGAGTGCCTGAGAAGTAAATAAAGACAAGTTGTGGGCTGCACATGGTGGCTCACACCTGTAATCTCTGGGAGACTGAGGTGGGAGGATCGCTTGAGGTCAGGAGTTAGAAAGCAACCTGTGCAAGAGCGAGACCCCGTCCCTACAAAAAAAAAAAAATAGAAAAGTTAGCCAGGCGTGGTGACATGCCCCTGTGGTCTCACCTACCTGGGAGGCTGAGGCAGGAGGTTGGCTTGAGCCCAGGAGTTTGAGGTTGCTGTGAGCTATGGTGACACCATGGCACTCTAGCCAAGCTGACAGAGTGAGACTTTGTCTCACAAAAAGAAAACAAAAAACAAAAAAACCAAGGTGCCTGTGACTCTCACACGTGCATCATCCCAGAGCATCCCTGACCAGGAGAAAAAGAAATTCATCCTGTCTTCATTTACTGATTTAAACTTTCAGTCTAGTGACCTGTGGGAGCAGAGCACTATTCCAGGTGTTCTGAAGAGAACAGATTCTCCAGCCCTGGGAGACTAGGGACTGGTGACAGTCATGACACAGTGCAGGTCATTCCGCCCCTGAGCTCCGCTCTGTGCAGGCACCATTCTCAGCTCTGGTGACAACAGTCTACAAGACAGATAAACTTCCTACTCTGATAGACCTGGTACACCAAGCAGGGAGATGGATGTTAAATCCTGAATAAACTAGAAAAACCAGATAGTGCTAAGGGTTAATGCTGTGAATTAAAATAGTGCTGGACTGCAGAGTACCTTGGTAGCAACCTTAGATGGGGAGGTCAGAAAAGGCCCCTCTGAGGAGGTGACATTGCAGCTGACATCTGCCCGGCAGAAGGAACCACGGAGTTAGTTCTGGTCAGCAACATTAGCTGCTGTAACAAACTCAGCCCAAAGCACAGTGGCTTTGCCAGTGACTGTTTATTTCTGGCTCCTTGCAAACCCAGTGCAGATATTCCTAGGCAGCCTGCCCTGTGGCCATGGAGGCACTGAGGTTCCTGCCGTCCACGGGGCCCCCGTCCTCCGCTCAGCACTCTGGGCCCGGCCAGCGGGCAGGGAAGGGGAGAGAGGGCAGAGGATCCTGCAGGGGGGATTTATGGACCAGGCCTGGAAGAGGCACACACATCACCTCCTCCCACAGTCCACTGAGCGGGACTCAGGGCCGTACCACCTGCAGGGAAAGAAGTGAAGATGGAAATGGGCTTTGGTGACCACATAGCAGCCTCTGCCACTGCAGCCCCCAGTGAGCAGGGCAGCCTTCCTGACCCAAGAAAGATAGAACGTCAGGAACCTAATGTGGAGATGGGCTTCCTGTGTCTGAGAAGGAGAGGGATGGCCAGCAGGGCTTCTCCATGGCGGGAAAGGAGGCCACAAACAAAGGCAGGGCCCAGCTAGAACACGTAATGCTTTGAAGTGAATGTGCGTGTGACTGCATGTGTCAGGGGTAGATGGGGGAAGTTTGGAGCAGGAATGTGGATAATCTGAATTAGTGTAAAGGAGTGTTGGGAAGGAAGAGTGGAGGGAGGGAGATCACCTGGAGGCTGATGTCCATTTGCCATTATTTGAACACTCCAGTCACACTGTCCTCAAGGCCTTTGCCCTCGCTGCACCTTCAGCCTGGTCTGCTCTTCCCTCAAATATTTACTTCCTTCAGGTCTCTGCTCAATGTGACCTTATGAATAAGGTGCTGTCCATCCACCTGACATAAAACAACAGCCCACCGCCAGCCGTCACTCCCCTTCGTCCCCTTGTCCTGCTGTATTCCTCACCACTGCACATGTTGCCACGTGACACCTGGTGTATAGATTGTCCTTGGTTATTTGTTCTCTGTCCCCTACCCCAAATCTGCAGTAGAGGCTCCGTGGAGGTAGGTACTCTTGGTTTTGCAGGCACTGAAATATTTGGTGGAATGAATGAGTGACTGACAGTGGTGATGAGTTCTGGGTGGAATTAGGATATATTCTTGAAGAAAAGCTGGCAGTGCACGGTGACGGATCCGATGTGCAGTGTGAGGGCAAAGAGAAAAATAATCCTCGGATATTCTTATGCTTGCAATTGGAGCACCTGCTATGGGTGGGAGACCCAGATGGGGGCAGGCAGGGGTCAGCAGCTCTGGTCTGGCCACATGAAGTTTGGGATGCCCAGAAGGCACCCATATGGAGATGCTGGCCCGGAGTCCTGGGAGGTACAGATCTGGGAGACACGGACTCCTGGGTGGTATTGAAAGCTGCGTAGCTGGAGGAGTTGTCCGAGGGGCTGAGTAGAGAAGGAGACCAGGGGTGCAAGGACTGAGCTCGGGGGCATTCTGATATTTGAAGTTCACAAAGGGAAAGTAGAGCAGCCGGCCAGCCAGAGCAGTGGGAGGAAACGTGGGAGCAGAGGGAAGAAACCGTTGGGGGAGGGAGTAGGAACTGGGCCAGAAGTGAGGGGTGGCCGAGTAAGCGAGGGGAGAGTGGTGGTGATGCGCTCCCTGAGCAGGACCTCTGCTCCCGAGCCACTGTCCCCAGAGGGCGGGGGCAGGGCAGACTCCTGGCTCCCCACCCTTTTCCTACATTCCACGGCATCCGTGGACACTGGAGATGTTTGTTTTTGGTCTAGTTTTCCAAAGGGTGGGCTAAGAGCATGTGCTTATTTCCAACCTTGGAAGGTTTGTAAGAATGTGCAAATCTGGATGTGAGAGGGAGTTCAAAGAAGAAACCAAAGGCAGAGGGGTTGGGCTTAGAAAATTCCCCAGCCCGTGGGCGAAAGGAATGGTAGTTGTGGGAAGGCGTTTCCCATACTTGAGGCATTTAAAATTAGGTATGCCACCAGCCCTGCATCTGGACAAGACAGCGGGAAGAGGCCGGAAGAATGGGTTAGGGACTGAGTAGGGAAACATGTAGTCGCGTTTGTTTCGTTGGTTGGCCGGGCTTTTCCGGGTTGCTTCCCGGTTTTGTTTCCGGGGCCGGGCTCTGGAGCTAAGCACACATGCCAGGTCTGATCCTGCCTCTGTCGTTTTTAAATAGTGTGGCTTTGGGCATGTCATCTCTATGCCTCTGCCTCCTTATTTTAAAGATGGAGGTAATGGCAGCACCTCTTCATGGAATCAGTAATGTATGAAGTAAATGAAATAATAATACACTGCAAATGCCTAGCCCAGGCATGGGCTCAATACATGTCCATGTACAACTCAATACATGTTCATGTATTGAGTAAGCATTTGCTGGTAACCTATGATGTGTGTTGGTCAGTGTAATTAGTAGCCAAGCAGATGGTCACCTACCTGTTAAGTTCAATAAAATCGTCAGTGACAGCATGAGTCTACTCAGGGCCAGAACCAAGAGAGAAGGCTGTGTCTTGAGCAGTGGAGTTAGGGACTAAAACTTAGTTGAGGCTGTTGCAAAAACTTGTTTTCAACATCGCTCTATGTTGTAGGACATCCCTGTCACGTGGCCTCGCTAGTGTGTGTTTCTAAGCTGGCCGGTTTTGGAAGAGCACAGGTGGACCTAGTATTTCCAACACAGACTTTCTTCATTTTAGTTTGCTTCCCTTTGTAAAGTCATTGTTTGGCCAGGCTCTGCAAAGCAACCATGTGACATATATCACACAGAGTGGGTGCCGAGGAAATATTGTCTCTCTTGCTGAGAGAGCTTTCTGGGGAAAAGGTACGGACCACGTGAAGGAGACTTGAGCAAAGTGCCTTGGTGGGGACAGACCGGTCGGAGGCAGTGTGAACCAGAACAGACTGTTCTCTGCAATGAATCGGAGCCTTCCAGATCTGTGCAGGGCATGGTTTGGCTAAGACCAGAGTGTCACAGTGGAATTTTGTTCAGACTTTATACTCCATTTAAACCAGGAAACCATAGTTCTTTCAAGAAAGAACCAGTTTTTGCAAGCTCCTCTTGCATACATCCCAAACAAAGAAAACCACACTCTAGAGTTAAACCTTACAGACCACAGGCTGTTCAGAACACAGAGAGCTGGGAAGGAAAGGATGATCTGAATTCTGAAGACATTTCTGTCTTGCTAGCCCCTTTCATTTTAAATCTGTTGGCCTCCATTTCTCCTGGGTGTGAAATGGAAATAATTACATGTTCAGGAGTTCCTTGGATTTTTCAAGATTTTGAGGCTGAGAAGCTTCCTTGGTTACTGACAACTTTTATTCTCTTTGTATCTCTCAAATCAGAATAGTTCAAGTGCAGGTCAGGAAAATAGCAACAGAAAGATTTGGCCATTCAAGTGTTTTTCTTCTAGTTCTTTCTGCCCCTGAAATACAATTGCATCTCTTTTAGCAATGTTACAAGTCGTTTTCCTTTGGCAATTAAAATTTCCACACCCTCCACCGTTTTTACAGGTCAGATTTTGTTTGGCTCCAAATCCAGCACTTGGGTCTTGGAGAGCAAGCTTGCGTGATCATTTACTTCTGCAGAGATCACATGCTCATCATTGCTTTCAGACATAATCAGCTTCAGCTTTGTAACTTTATGAACTTGGGGTGGGGAGCAGTTGGTTTTTTGGGTTATTTTTTTTTTCTTTCTGTCTTCAGTCCAAGGAATGTGAAAGCTTTCTATTCTGATTCACCCAATACCCCAGATCCTGTGACCTTTGAAATTCACAGACCTTTTTTTTTTTTTTTAACAGAACTATCTTTTTCAACATTGCAATTCATTGTGACTTTTGTGGTCATCCATTTCGTGCTGACTGCCAGGTGTTTGAAGAGCAAACCTAAGTAATTCAGTAGAGCACAGCTAGAAAGACCACCTCTTAAGAAGGAGGAACTTAACAGGGTCCGACAGCCACCTGGATCTGGTGCACAGCTGAGAAAGGAAGACATTAGCCAAGCCATCGTAGAGTTTTCAGATATAACCTTGGCTTTTAAGCCACATCATCCTCTCTGGTCTCCAACTCCCTGAAGGTGTTTCTCTTCTTGCCATGAGTGTATGATCAGTGGGGGGATGGGGAACTACAAAAGCTTGCTCTTTAGACATTTTCAGGGGAGTGAGTTTTTAGAATGTGATCAGAAAGACTAATTCCTTCCACCCATATCTTTAGATTTCTTCCACATTTTAGCAAATAAAAATCAGCCCTCAGCTGTCTAACCTTGGAGTTTCTAATCTTTAAAACACAGTTGACCTTGCTTCCCTGAGTGAGGTCAGAACTCAAAGGCCACATGGCGTCATCACAGGTCCCCAGCTGTGTACACACAGGGCAGGGGGTGGGGATCAATCCCCAAAGGTCACTACTCTCTTTCGCCATCTCCTGCTTACCCCTAAGTTATTGGCATTTTGCTGCAAGGCACACCAAAGCCATTCTGATTGTCAGAGCTCTGCAAACCAAGTGTAGATAAGTAATCTGTGAATTTCAGGTGCTTTGGGCACCTCCAGGAAGCACCAGGCAGCTAGTTACATACAGTTACTGTGAAATAAACGTGGTGATTGACGTGGCCCAGTGGTCAGTAATGTTTCTCTTTTCCCAGGATCTCAGAGTGCATGGACAGCGAAGCCGAGACCGTCATGCAGCTCCGAAATGAGCTGAGAGACAAGGAGATGAAGCTGACAGACATCCGCCTAGAAGCCCTCAGCTCTGCCCACCAGCTCGACCAGCTCCGGGAGGCCATGAACAGGATGCAGGTGAGCGCCCAGGAGCATAGGCTGAGCCCAAGGCTGTCGGGGAAGGAGCTCCAGGAGGCTGCTGTCTGCCAAGCCCCAGGGCAACATCAGAATCTGGTGGCAGCCCTCTGCTTTCCCAGCCTCTCCTCTGTCCCTCCCACACATTGCTCAAAGACCAGTCTTTGGAAAGAATGAGGATAACTATTTGCTCTCTTGCATGAGACTAGATTCTCCCCGACTGCCTGTGGCATGCAATACAAGCTCCTTCACCTGGCCTTCAAGGCCTTTCAGGGGTTCCTTTTCACTCTTAATCCACCCTACCCTCCCCAACTCAATTTTCTGACTCAGTGGCCAGATGGAGCCGCTGACAGCTCTCTTTGCTTGCCCTGGGAATATCTGTTTCGTACTGTTCCCTCCACTGGGAATATCCCTGTGCACATCAAACTGGACCCTTCCCCCAACACTCAGCCTGGTGCCTCTGCCTCCGCAAAGCCTTTCCAAGTCTTGCAGCAGGAAGAGTTAGTGCCCTCATCTTAGTATTCCCGTAGGTTTGTTCTTATGGCCCTCTCACCTTCTGCCACGGAGTGAGGACATTTGGGGTGCTATTTTTTGCATCCCTTTTTCTGGACACAGCACCAGTGCCTTGCACATGGTAGGCTCTTCATAAATATTTATAGAATGAAAGACTCCTGTGGAATATGCTAACTGGCACATCACTGGAAAGCGGTGTTTCCCAGAGGAGGTTCCCTGAATCACTCATTCCATGAGAGGCTCTATGAAAGGAGAGCTCCTTGATCAGATACGTTTGGGAAATGCTGCACTCTGTGCATGTCTCTCAGATTCACAGCACGAAGCAGCTCATTAAAGGTTCTGAGAAGTCCTGCGGTAAAGAAGCCTATCAAAGCCAGAGTTTCACAAACTTCTTAGATCCTTTAGATGCTTTGCCACCTAACACTCAAGCAGCAGACTGGAGGAAACATTTCAGAGGTCTTTTCAAAGGCGGATTCTCTGAAAGGATGCACCCTCTCCTGCCAGACGTGTCCTGTGTATACAGCAGAGGCAGCAAACACTGCCGAATCTCTCTGATGGTGTTACTTGCCTTGCTTGTGATATGCTACCTGGTTCCTGCAGAAAACGTTCAGAGCCTTCCTCCAGAAAAGGCTTATTCACATAAAATCCACCTAGTGAGTGAGCTTCTCCCTTAATCTTTGCAGAGTGAAATAGAGAAGCTGAAAGCTGAGAATGACCGGCTGAAGTCGGAGTCTCAAGGCAGTGGCTGCAGCCGGGCCCCCTCCCAGGTGTCCATCTCTGCCTCCCCGAGGCAGTCCCTGGGCCTCTCCCAGCACAGCCTGAACCTCACTGAGTCAACCAGCCTGGGTGAGTGGCTCACGGGGCTCGGGGGCAGGACCAGACCTGCACCTGGCACTCTGGTCTCCAAGCGAGAGCCCCAAGACAAGTAGCTACCAGATCAAACGGAGAGGCAACAGGCGTGTGTGCACTTTGGGGTGTGTGTGTTTGGTGTGTGTCTGCTACCAACATGAGCCCAGCCGTTAGACCGCTCTCATGCTTTGCTCCAGCACCCCAAATTCTCCAAGCCCTGAGCTTGGGTCCCCCTCACCCACCATGCTGAGTTCTGTTTGATCCATTTTAAGACGCTGACCTGCAAGCTGAATGCTGCGTACAAACCCTACAGTCGCAGGTCCCAGTCGGGGCAATGGCTTGGTCTATGGTCTTCCTGCCTTCAGGCTGGATCCCAGGCTGGTGCAGTCATCAGTGAACACACTCTAGGTTTTCTTTGTAAGCATATCAAGGCTGACGCTTTTATTTTTTATCCATGATGCTGCTACTGCTATCGTTTTGGTTGAGTCTCTCCCTCGCACTTCCATTCGGCCAGGTGCATCGTCAGCCTGCTGGTTCCTTGGTTGGTCCACCGTTGGTTTCTGTGACTGCGTTCTCCATTGTGCCCTCTCCCCCTCCCCCAACCCCCACCCCACCTTCCCCCCGCACCCCCTGCACCCCGACACCGGCTTTGTCCCGCTGCTGTGCCAACAAGCAGCGGGGGTGTCAGGAAGCCAGCTTTGCTGTCCCCATGTGCCTAAGGCTGTTGATGTTTTCCATTCGCAGACATGTTGCTGGATGACACTGGTGAATGCTCGGCTCGGAAGGAAGGAGGCAGGCATGTTAAGATAGTTGTCAGCTTTCAGGAGGAAATGAAGTGGAAGGAGGTTAGTTGGATCCCTTTCCCTGCTCTGCCTGTCCCTCACCCAGGTAGAACTACCTAGCTTAGCGATTCAATCATAACACCCGGTCGCCTCGGAGCCTGAGGCGAGTTGGAAATACTACTAACGCTTCTCTCGACTAACCGTGGTCCCCGGCAGCATTTGCCACAATTAAACCGACCGAATGGCATTTCCCCTTCTCTCGTGTTTGACAGTCTAATAAAAAGTACTAAAAATGGTCCCGCACTGCACTTTCCTATAATTAACTAAACACTGACATCCTTCAGAAAGGGCTTTTCTGAATTTAGCATATCCCTAAAGCACTTCAAAGGCAGCTGTGCACTTTTAGGGTACAAGGTACAGACATAAGCTGGCTGAGTTCAGCTGACCAAGGGCACGGGTCTCGCAGGTCTTCAGGGCAGCTGGCAGGGCAGGCGCTGAAAGACGGAGGCAGCCAAGTGCCAGGAGCGCTCAGGTGGCTGGCAGTGGGGCCGGGGGGCATCGCGACTCACCGAGGCTAGGAAACCTGCGTTTTCTGAGTACAGTGTCTGTTCTCCGCCAGGGCCCAGAAACTTCTGGAGTCTTCACCACTGCCAGAGACAGCTTTGAGGTGGGGGTAGGGGTTGACAGTGAAAGTTGAATTTTAGTCCACGATTAACCCAGTGATGCTCTGAATGGTCATCTCTTGAATAAATGGGAAAAGGTTTCATGAGTCAGCATGGGAACTTGAAAAGTCCCAAGCATGGGAACTTGAAAAAGTTCCCATGAGTTTTTTCTTTGCTGTTTCTTAGCGTTTCTAGCCAATATGCTGTTGTAGCTCCCGACAGCTGGGGAAACAGCACTGCCCACCAGAAAGAAGCGTCTGCAGCCAGAGGTGTTTTTGTTTTGTTTTGTTTTGTTTTTTTGCCAGGGGATTCCACTTTGTGGCTGGCTTGCAAGCTTCATCGAAGGGGATAAGCCCAGAATTTTGGAGCGTCTGAGGGTTTTAGCATATCTGTCCTAGGAAGACACAATAAATAGCTCCATTTAAAAAATGTAGCTAATGGAGTGATTGACTATCAGGGAGGGGATTTATTCTTACAGCATTCTTATAGTAAATGCACATGATACCTGTGGATGCAATTTATTCTAGTGATTATCAATATGAACAGACAGAGCTTACATCTTACAAAAGTTTACAAGTCAAAGACTGTAGCATTCTAGATCGCCATGGCATCCAGATGAGGTTGGTGGACGAGGGGTTGCTATTTCCATTTTACAATTGAGAAACCCAAGACAAGCATCACTTACTTGAGGCCACAAGGCAAGTGGTGGGGTCAAATCATGTCACTGCAAGACTGGTGCTCTTTTCTCTGCTGATTTTGCTTTAACTGCCAAATGCCGCTGCCTCCCTAACTCTACATTCTTATGAGCCTGTCAGATATTCTAAAATGTAGTAGAATGGAACCTGCTATCCGCATTTCTTTAATCAGTGTGGTAGCTCCCATTATGCAGAGCCCTGTGGGCGGTGATGCAAAAAAAAAAAGTAGAAAAAGATTATTTGGAGGGTGACCTTCCTGGAGTTTTACTAGTTTTCAAAATTAAACCTGTGTTAACTTTTAATTACAAGAAAAGCAATACATGTTATTTAAAAACAAAAAAGGAAAAAAAAAAAAATAGAAACACATTCTGTCCTGTAGATGTTTAAGATCTAGCAAGGATATAAACTTGATATATAAATAAAAGAAAAATACCCAAAACTAAATATAAGTAAGTACAGAATATATTGTTATTTAAGTTGTGAATAGAACCTTTGCAGCAATGTAGGCTCTGAGCCTGGTGGGGTTGATCACTGAAGGCTTCCTGGAAGAGGTGAGTTCACAAGCAAGGCTTGAAAAGGGAGAGAGACGGCAGACAGCAGTGAGGAGAGTATTGCAGGCAAGGGGTGTGTGACCCGTGCACTGTACACACTTAGTGGAAGTTTCCAGATTCCAGAGAGGAGATCCTTTCTTCCCGACCCATGGATTCCTGTTTCAGAAGTAATGCAGGGAAGAGTTTTAAGACTGTTGCATTCCACCTAAGTTATACCTGATGTTGAAACAAATAGGACTTTTGTTCCCTTCTCAATCCACTGGCGGAGTTCTAAGGCAATCTAAGTCCTCTGCTGAACTGAGTCGGATGAGATCCACCTGTTTTTCACCTGCATACATTTCCTTACCCTTAGGATTCCAGACCACACGTCTTTCTCATTGGCTGCATTGGAGTTAGTGGCAAGACAAAATGGGATGTGCTCGATGGGGTGGTCAGACGGCTGTTCAAGGTAAGTGTTTCAAGGTGACAGGCACGCAGTACACCTGACGTGGGGGCTGGGGAGGGGGCGAGGCTGTGTGCTGAGCCTGGCCATGTCTCAGGCCTGTCCCCTCCTCCACATCCTTATGCTGCTGAAACTTGTTCCCTGGCCCTCAAGGGAATGGAAGGATGATGGTAAGTACAGACTGGTGATTGGCCAAGCTCTTTCCATCTGCCCTTCACAGCGGTTGGCCGGCTAGTGAGAGTCACTGGAGCAATTATTTGATCCTCGTGTGGTGAATTACTAATGGTCCAGATCTCTCTTCACCTTAGAGTTGTGTCTTATTAAGTATGCTTTGGGGTATATGATCTGCGGCTGGGAGTTGGCCATCAGATTTCTCTCTTGCATTTTGGGGGGATTTGATCTGGCTTGCCCAGCATCCTGTGCCAACCCTAGAGTCTCTGATTCGGGCTACAGGTGACATTAATGTCTGATCAATGGCCAGTGTCAAGGATGTTGGCACACTTATTTCTCTATTCTTTCTAACCATATCGTTAGATTGAGTGTTTACCATAGGAAAAATAACTAATGAGTACCAAGGCGAACCTTGTAGCACAACGTAATTTGAAAGAAGCTTTTGGCACATTTTTTCTATTTTCCTTAAGTCAACAGCCATAATGTTCGTTAATTATATCCCCTGTGTAGTAATAATAGCCCACATTCTTTTGTGCCAGAGAGCATGTTAGGCCTGTATTTTCCCATTTAAAGTTGAGGAAAGTGAGGCTCAGGTTGGGGTACTTGTCCAAGGTCAGGGATCTAGAACTAGACCACGTTGGTCTAACTTCAAAACCTTACTTAACTAGTACTCCATGGTCTTCTCTCTAAGCATGTAGATCCAGCTGGCTTCATACTAAGTTCTGTTACTTGACCAAAGACTGCTCCCCATCTTGGCGTGCCAGTCTGTAGAAATGTAGCCAGGCAAGAAATACGAATAGCTCAGGACAGACCACTTCTCCTACCCAGGCCAAACCTTATCTCTGCTGGTGGCTAGTGGGCCCATCCTTGGATTAGACTGACGACAATTTGGGCTGAAAAGAGATGCTGGGATGACCTAGTAATTGAGGAAATGAAACCGTTCAAGGCCTGTCACTGGGATTATACCTAAGTCATGGTGTGGCCACCACATACATCACCCATGGACCTTAGTGTTATGTTTACTGACCTAAAACCTTCTAGTCACTCACCTAAGAGGGAACACTTTCCAGATTAAACACACATTTTCCTTCTTAAAAATCTAGAGCTGACTTTTTTTCTGACAGCCCTGTATTTTGTTCTCTTTCTCATCGGTATGATCTTTGAGCCAAAAGAAGAGGATGGTAGAGAGATTTCCTGTCGGAATCACTTTTTCATGAATTTTCCACACCATTCGAAGGCCCCAGTGCCTTGGAGACTTCAGCTGAACTTGGGGAAAGCAGCCTAGCTCTTCCATGCTTGGTTCCTCTAGACTAAATGTCCGCAATCTGGTTGGGGGGTTTATTTCTCTTCCCCATTCCTAACCAAATAAATGCATATTTTAAGAGGCCCGAGATACTAGGGCATTATCCCTGTAGAAAGGCGGCTCTTCTCCCCCTCGTTCCGCGGCTTGATTTCAACTCAGACATCATCCGAGAAGGAGGAGAAGATGGTCGTAAATCACCCAATGAAAACATGAGTCATGGGCAGATTTCAGCCACATCTTTGACAGGGTCTTTATTTTTATTTTTTCCAGGAATACATTATTCACGTCGACCCGGTGAGTCAGCTGGGGCTGAATTCAGACAGCGTCCTCGGCTACAGCATCGGGGAGATCAGGCGCAGCCCCACTTCCGAAACCCCCGAGCTGCTCCCCTGCGGCTACCTGGTGGGCGAGAACACGACCATCTCCGTGACGGTCAAAGGTAATTTGGCCGGTCGGAGAGATTAGAGCTTTCAGGAATTGCTGTTTTTGTTTTGCGACTTGGCGTGGTCAGTTGTGGCCACACTTTTGTTTGTGCGTATGTATGTGGGTTGCTTTTTTTTTTTTTTTTTTTCCCTCTCTTCTACCACAATTACTCTTACCTAAGCAAGTTGGACAGTCTTGTGCTTTTTCAACCACCTTCGGAAACAAATAATTTTCATTTATTGCTACAATTATATAACAAAAGGTCCCATTAGCCTTTATGGTTCTGAGATGGTGAAATCTTAATAACCCTGTTGAAATGGGGCTGTACCAATAGCAATGAACTTGTCTTGCCAGCAAGCCTTGGACGTGGTCCATCGTAAAGATGGGGAAACCACGACTTGCTGTAGGCTACAGAGGAGTGGCTGTGAGCATCCTGATGAAACTGCTACAGCTCCGACCCACGCACAGTGCTGCAGAGCTTCCGATTGCCTCATTACCCGGAGATGACAAACCCCAGGCCAAAGTGTGTTCCTTGGAACTCTAGGTTCACGGAGTTCTCTGCGGGGGGGAGAAAAAAGTTTCATGGCCAAATAAGTCTGGGAAGCTACATCATTATCCCTTTCGGGTTTGGGGGCCGGGGGACAGGAGTACACTGGTACATTAAAGGCTCTGTCCTATAACGTCCTAACTCCTGCTGTTAAAGAGGCTGTTTAGTCCACTCTGTTCCAAATTTATTTGACTACAAAACTGCATCATTTCCTGAACATTATGCACCACCTGAGTAATAGACTTTTATAAATACTGTATGTACTGGGCTCATTCTTTGTGTTGTCTTGTTATTAACTTCCATGGAAGGCACAGATTTTCACTCAGTTTTGACAGCACAATTTCCCAGCTGTCCAATGCAAGTTTTCTTTCCTGGTTGGCAGGGTTTCCCCAAGCCCCCCAGCATTTTCCACCAGCAGGAATTGAGATTTTGCTCTGCAGGTGGCAGATGGCACGTGTTAAGCCTCACACAGCCTTCTCCTGCTGGCAAGTGAAATTCCACAATTGTGCCCTTGGACTACAAGTGACAGAAACCAACTCAAAAGTAGCTACAGCAAAAAGGAAATTTACGGGCTCATGTACCTGGGCAGTCCAGGAGTGCACTTCAGGCACAGCTGGATCCAGGTGCTCAGACAGTGTCGCTGGGACCAGGCCTGCCTCAGCTTTGCCCATCATGGCTGTGCTTATTTGAGCTTTATGTACATGGTTGATGAAATGGCCTCAATTCATTCATCTAGCTTCTCGGAAAACGTAACGGAAAATTATTAGGGGTGACTCTGGCCCACCATGAGTCAAATGCCCATCACTGGATCTGTCATTGTGACCAGAGGGAGAATTTGACCAAGCCTGGTCACAATCCTACCCTTTTGGGTGGATGGAGGGGCTGGATCAGCTTCACTTGAAGCCCCTGGAATGAGCTCCCAGGAGACAGAAAGAAGACTTATACTCTTCAGGGACGCAGAAAGGGGTGTCAGGCACACCGGAACAACTGTCCCTGGCAAGAGCCCGTTAAGGAAAGCCCTTTACGTCCTGCGCTCAAATTGCATTTCCTCCATGCCGCCAAGCGTGGGTGGTGCACTTGCTCATCTTACAAGTGAGCATTACAAAGCACCGAGGGGTCAAAGGAATGCCCTCTTGCTGAGACCAGACCAAAGCTCTGTAGAAACAGTAACTAGGTGATCTGCCACCAGTGGAACATGTCCCTCCGCAGAGCCTGATCCGTTGCTGTTGTCAGCACATCAGGTGTTCGCATCTCCTGGGATCAGCTCGGGTTTACTTTTCAGTGATACCTGACTCTTCTCTCTTCCTGGAGTACTTAAAACTTACGCCTTCAAGGCACTAAAAACCACTCCAGGATTTGAGCTGAAAGCGTTTCATGAGCTGCAGTGATTCACTTCAGTAGTAGTAGGGGAAGGGGGTGTGATTGCGTGTTCTGAAGTGAGTTTGTCACCAAAATAGTCACTCCCTGGGGGTTTTATGGCAAAAGACTGAAACAGCGGCATATATGCAGAGGGGGGTGTTTTAGAGTTTTTCTCCTGAGTTTATTGTTGTGGCTGTTATTGAGTTTAGACTAAAGACCCCATGCGCCATACTTTGCATCAGGTTTGAGCCAGCGTAGGCCTTGCTGAGTTCAGTAGCTGGAAAATCTTAGGCCTCTCCTCAGCAGATGAGGCATTTGGGGACCTTCATCATGATCATTCTAGAACACTCACTGCATTTAGGGGTTACTGTTGGTTGGGGTAAGATTAGAAACAAGCATATAGATGCATTTCAGGGGGATCTGCTTGCAGCGAATGATTATGTGGAAGGACGATGCTATAATAAAACAAACCCCCTTCGGTTTATTTTTTACTTATACTGATTTTCTTAAGGATAGTTTTTAAACAGAATCACCTTAGGTTCTGGACAGGTAACCTTGGATGGATCCTCTCTTGAAAACAGTATCAAGAAATTAGCTCGTGTAAAGCCAATAACCCTGATTTGATGAAGTTCCAGGCAGGAAAGGGGAAAGATAAGTTTCCACTTGTTAAGGATCAAGGGTCCAGTATGTAGCATTTTAGCCTAGGTCCAGAATCAAATGGTCAGTCCCCCCTTGGATTTTTTTCTCATTTTAAAGATAAAAGTTCTGTTGCCTTCGTGGTGATCTTAGTGTGGCTGGCAGTGGCGCCTGGCATGCAGGAGGGGACAGGGTGAAGAAGAGGCAACCTCGGGGTTCTGGCAGACACAGTAGACAAGACTCAGTTTTGGTTTGGGCAGATACTGTAGTAAATCCAGACAGGCAAGCAGAGCCCAGGGCCTTTTGAATTCTGCACAGGACAGATGAGGACTGGGAGCCCAACTATTCAAGGTGAGTCTAAATCTGGGAAAGTCATCCAAGACGGGAGCCAGAAGCACATGGCACTTTTGAATAGGGAGGTGACTTCCTGGAGCAGTAGCAGTCTGCTCTGAGCCCCCAGTGTCCCTGGGTGAGAAGTGGTCTCAAGTGAGTGAGATGCCGAGGAAAAGGAGAGCCTCAGGTCCTGGCAGTCCCAGTTAGGCGAGCACAGAGAGCTACCATTTCGACAGGGCTTCAAACACTTCCTGTGTCTCTCCAACGCAGGGCTCCCGGAGAACAGCCTGGACTCGCTGGTGTTCGAGTCCCTGATCCCAAAGCCGATCCTGCAGCGCTACGTCTCCCTGCTGGTGGAGCACCGGCGGATCATCCTCTCCGGCCCCAGCGGCACCGGGAAGACCTACCTGGCAAACCGACTGTCGGAGTACATGGTGCTTCGAGAGGGACGGGAGTTGACAGACGGGGTCATCGCCACTTTTAACGTGGACCATAAGTCCAGCAAGGTGAGGAGGTTGTTCTGAGCCTGCTGCATTTTTTTGGCCCTTTGAGCATTTGATGCCCCCACCATCCTGAAAGGAAAGCAGCATTTCCTAGCATCTCCTTTGGGGCTTCACTCAGATCCTCCCAGCAAGTTCCATCTGTGGTTAAGTCGATCTAGTTCAGTTATGATCCTCAGTGCTAGTAGTTCTTTAAGATCATTGCAGGATACATCCATTTCAATTGACCAACAATTTCTCGTGTGCCTATGAGGTGTTACTGATTTTCCAAAATAAAATCAATCTTCTTTTGTGGAACAACAATAGCAATAACACTAATAACACAAATAACAACAGCAGCTCGCATTTGCAGACTGCTTGCCCTGTGACCAGCAGCCTGGCCTTCCCACTGTAACACCTTCAAGGGAGTAGTTGTCACTATCCCTGTTTTGCAGAGGAGGAAACAGAGGCTTATGGCAGCTTAGTCATGTGCCTACGACCACTCAGATGGTAGCAGCAGATAGGGTGGCTCCTGCTTGACGATGGAGACCTGTTCAGATGGAGTCCGACCTTGTCCCGGCCAAGGGTTGGAAAGTGTTTTCTTAGACCTGTTCATTGTTTCATGCAGTGAGAATGGATGGATGATCAAAGGTGGGCTGGAAATGGCTCCTTCGTCTTAAGGATCACCTGGTGTTCCTGAAGATGCAGATTCCTAGCCCGCACTCCTAGATGGTCTCTTCCACTAGCTTGTGCGGGGCCGGGAATCCACACCCTCCACATGTTCCCCACGTGGTTTGGGTGCAGGAGCAGGATGAGAGAGAAGCGCTCGGAGCCCCTCTGTTGAGAGCCTTGTTGTGGGTTCGCGAAGGCTCCCCAGGCACCATCTCGGCCCCCACTAGCTTTCCCCTTAGCGGGGCCCCCTCACATGGAGCATGGTCACCAACCATACACCACAGGCCTGGGTGGGCGGGGAGGGCGCCAGGTGTCAAGGAGCAGGAGCCCCGTCCTTCTCGGAGGTGCCTGGGGCCAAGAACCCAAGGTAATAAGGGACTAAAAGAACCAGTAACTTAAAAAGGTGGGCTTTCTCTCCTGCTTAACAAGCCATATTTTGATTTAAAAGAGAGGCCTGGGGGCGGGGGTCTGTCCTTGTAGGAGGTGGAGGAAATGTCGCCCACCTCTGCACAGCAGGGCTAGCGTCTGGGGCATGCTGGTGTGGTGTGGCACACATTGGGCAGGCACCCGGGTCGGGGCCCACCCCACTGCTTACCCCCGTGCGGTCTCAGGCCAGTCACCTGGTTTTGGTGTGCCTCAGCTTCTCCATCTGTAAAATGGGGGTGATCGTGATACTCGTCTCATAGGGTTATCGGAGGGGCTGCAGGAGTTCCTGTGTGTAAGGCCCTGAGCGCCCTGGCCGGCTCTAAGTGATACCAACTGTCATTATGGTGCAGTAACGTCAGGCAGTCATTCTGAGTTCTCCGGCAGGTCCTCACCTCACCTTTTTGGCCTTTTCCTCTGTTGCGTCATTCTTCTTCCTCTTCCTCTTCCTCTTTGGGCATGCATCCCTCCCCCCAGCACGCTGGGCTGGGCTCTAGTCCCAGCTGAGCCAGTGCCCCAGCCATTCTTCAAGGTTAAATTCAAAGCCTTCCCTTTCAAGAGGACGTTCCCAGGTCCCCGTTGCATACAATCTCGTGTCCCCTGCGCTGCTCGTTGTGTCTGCCATGACACTAATTGGCAGGCGTGGGGCCGGCTCCTCTGCTGATTGATCGAAGTCACCTGTGCACACGGCTGTCAGGCAGGTTCCAGAGAGGGACTGAAATGTATAAGACACCTGCCTTTGGGGAGCCTACTGGGAAGTTGGCATAATAGGAAATATCAAGAAAAGTAGCATTTCTCGAGAAGTGGTAGAGCAGGAGTAAAAACCATGCGTATGCGACTCCACAGCGCTGTGTCTTGCCCTAGGCTCAAGGTTTTCAGCCATCTGGTGAATGCCAGCAGGCAGGACCAGGCCTTAGTCATCCCTTCCCCACGCCGCATCCCCCGAGCACCGCGCCGATGCCCCGTACCCGGCAGGCACTCAGAGCGTGTTCATAGCTCGGCGTCGTGAAGGGCGGTGACTCTGCCTGCGCTGGCCTGGGCGAGGTGCAGGCCCTGAGCAGGTGAGTCTTCCCTGGGTGCGTCACCAGCTCGCCCTCCCTGCCCTCCGCAGGAACTGCGCCAGTACCTGTCCAACCTTGCCGACCAGTGCAACAGCGAGAACAACGCCGTGGACATGCCCCTGGTCATCATCTTGGACAACCTGCACCATGTCAGCTCTCTGGGCGAGATCTTCAACGGGCTGCTCAACTGCAAGTACCATAAATGGTAAAGGCCAGGGCCGGACCTCACGGCCCCTGGAGAGCGTGCCAGCCCCGACGGGGAGCTGTGCTCGCACGCCAGGCGGGGCGGGGAGGCGGCTCGCATCCACTTGCCGGGACACGCTGACGGCGCAGGCCTCTGCGAGCACCTTGTTCTCCGGCTCGCCTTGGACTCACAAGCCTTCTTTTCCTTTATTTCCCCCACAGCCCTTACATAATCGGCACAATGAACCAGGCTACCTCTTCTACCCCCAACCTGCAGCTTCATCATAACTTCAGGTAAGTTTTCCCCTTCCCTTCTCCAGTGAAATGTGGCATTGCAAGGAAGGGAAGCAAGAAAGGGAGAGTAGAAAGGCCTTTGTTAAGTGTGTGTGCTATGCAAGGTATCGTGTTAAGTATTTTTCCCAGCTTCACTCCGTTGAGCCTCATTTCAGCCTCAAGTAATTACATTTAGCATTCTCAGTTTACAAATGGGGAAACTGAGGCCCGGAGGCTTCAGTGACTTTGTGAGGTCAGTGGCAGAGGTGAAATTTGAGCCCAGGTCTCTCTGCCTCTGAGCCCCGCTGGGGCAGTGTCAGGGAGGCAGCTCTGGCCGGGGGCTGTAGGCACCCTTGCTGCCCCTGCACGTTACCAGCCGTGTGTCTCTCTGTCTCAAGTGAACAAGAGCAATGACAGCTCTTACTTATAAACGTCCCCACGTAGCTAGCTGGGTGTCGGGGCCTTCGAGTTCCAGCTGTCGTGACTCCTTGGTGGCTTGTCTGCCGCTCCTGCTGCAGCACCACACCAGTGCTGTCTCCAGCCAGGGCAGAGGAGGACTGCTCAGCTCAGGCTGTGTGGCTGCGTGCCTTGGCATCGCTAGGCTCCCTCTGCCCTGCCCTCCAGCTCTCCGGCCTGGGCCCTCTCCTGGCTGCCCCCCTCCCCAGCTCACGTTCACTGGCCACTGCACAGGCATCTCTGGGAGATCTGTTGAAAGTGGACCTGCATGTGATTGTCAAAGAAATGTCGACTCCTCCAGCGGCACTGACAGCATGCCTCACCTCCGCATTCCGGCTGTCCTGGCCTTGTCCGTGCTGTCCCGTAAATACCCGTTAAGCCCGCCCTCCTCCCCCTCCCCCGTCACTGCGGCATCATCACCCAGTGTGCCATGGCCGTGTTTTCTAATGAGTACGCCAGGCCATGCTCTGCGCTGTGGCAGCCAGAGTGCCATTCTAGCGCGCACATCTGACCGTCGAACTCTCGCGCTTCAAGTCCATCCATGGCTCCCCACTGCCTGCAGAATGCGATCCAGCCTGCTCGGGCTGCAGGTCGAGTCTGACCTTCAGTTACACTGAAGTTCTGGCAGTTTCACCACATACCCGTGCTGTTTCCACACCTTTGCAGAGGCTGCAGCCTGCACTCCGCCCCCGCCCCAGCACCTGCTCCTGCCTTTCCTTGCCTGCCCCGTCGGCCACCCAGTGTCAGCCCAAACGTCCCCTCCTCTGAGGAGCCTGGCCCGATCACCGTGGTCTTCGTCATATCTCGTCTGTCCCTATGCTTGTCTGCCTCGTCCACTGGCCTGTGAGCTCCTGGGGAACAGGACTGTGTCTTAGTCATCGTTGTGGCTCCGTAGCGCGAGCCTGGCACTAAGCACAAGGGGCAATTTCTCCAAGTGGTTAGAGCTCAGCCTCTGGAGCCAGACTGCCTTGGTTCTAAGCTTATCTATGAACTAGCTGTTTGATCCTTGACAATTTCCATAACCTGTCTGTGCCTCGGCATTTCTATCTGTAAAATGGGAATGGTGGTACCATCCACAGCATAGGGCTACCACGAGGAATTGGGAGTTAATACACATGGAGGATGTTTAGAACGGTGTTTGGCACACGGTGAGTCCTGTTATTAGCAAACCCAGCTTCCGTTTCTAACACACTTTGGTCGTTGAGGTCAGCAGTCTCCGTCAGCATCCTGAACGGCATGTCTGCTTCCCCCAGGTGGGTGCTGTGTGCCAACCACACGGAGCCCGTGAAGGGTTTCCTGGGCCGGTTCCTGAGGAGGAAGCTCATGGAGACGGAGATCAGTGGGCGTGTGCGCAACGTGGAGCTGGTGAAGATCATCGACTGGATCCCCAAGGTGTGGCATCACCTCAACCGCTTCCTGGAGGCTCACAGCTCCTCCGACGTCACCATCGGTAGGTGGGGGCCAGGTAGGGCGGCGCGGGCTGGCGGGGAGGGGCCGCTTCTGGAGCGCTCGCTTCCCAGAGGGCTGTGCTCGGGCCCCAGCCAGGACAGCGCACTGCAGGTGCAGTCTGCCGTCTGCCTGCCATTGCCCAGGACACCCTCCCCTGGGGGTGCTCGGGCCGTGGCTTCGGCCCTGACGCATTTTCACTGTGCTCCTCAGGCCCCCGGCTCTTCCTGTCGTGCCCCATCGACGTGGACGGCTCGAGAGTGTGGTTCACTGACCTGTGGAACTACTCCATCATCCCCTATCTCCTAGAAGCCGTCAGGGAAGGGCTCCAGGTGAGAGGCACCTGCTGGCTCCCTCAGAGTTGAGGGGGGCTGTTCCGGTGACCACATAAGTAGTCTTTATCTTCTCCTTCAGGAATCTGACATGAGGTGACCGTCCCTCACCCCCCAGATCATCAGTCTAGTACAGTGTAGGAACACTTGGCTGCACATCCTGGCTCTGCCGCTTATCAGCTGTGTGACCCCAGGCAAGTCGCCTAGCCTCTCTGTGCCTCAGTGTCGTCCTTTGGGTTTTTTCCCAAGGGGTTTTTGCAGGGTTTAATTGAATTCTTGGCCTTTAGTTGTTGGGCTTGTTAGTTGCCCAGGATTTGGGCCCTTCCTTTTTTTTGGCGCTTTTCAGTTTTTACAATGTTTTCTCCTCTGTTCTTTTTTTTTCGCTCTGTGTTTTTGTTGTGGGTTTTGTATAGATTTTTTTTTGTTTTTCTTTTTTTTAGGGGGGAAAAATTGAGGCTCAGAGAGAATAAGTGACATGCCTAAGGTTATAGAAGTAAAACCTGAAGGGTCTGGGATTTGAACCCATGCCTTCTGGGTCAAATTCCGGGTTCTTAGTTCCCATGACACTCACTCTCTGACATGAGGACCCCTCACAGGTGACTTTAGGGTCCACAGGGCTGCAAGTCCCACCTGCCTGGCAGCAGTTAAAAAGCACAAATTCTCACTCAGCCCAGGGTTTAACTAGGAGCTTACCCTTAAACTGGAGCTTGGGACGGTTTTATTGCTGTGCCTGGAGGTGGCCGGAGGAGTTCCGTAGGCTCTCAGCACTCACAGGGAGAATTAGAGTCGTTAGCGGGCATCATGCACAGCTGAATGATCCAGGAACCAGATTTGCAGCCAGGTTTCCAAGGGCAGCTCTGTTTCCTGGGTCCTGGGCAGTGGGAGACACAAGATGCTGCCGTGCGCCTGCAGAGGGTGCGGGGCGGTGCAGACCACATACACGTGTGTGGCGGTACAAGTTAATTGCTTTGGTCTGTGTTTGTCATTTCTGCATATTTGGCTGAATATGGGAATATTCAACTGCTTTTTACCTGTGATGGTCTTCAGGGGCATTCAGGACAAAAAGAACCTGAAAAGAAGGGTATTGTGCCTCTTGTGACTGGCGTGACATTGAGCTGGAACGCTGACGCTACAGATTCAAACCACTTTGTTGAAATACACGTGTATTGTGATGGCGGAGAGAAGTATGAAATTAGGCAGTCTCTGGCCGGCCCAACCTCATGAGTTATCTGTGCTCTTATTCAACGTTGCTTTCATAAAAGAAGGCATGAACGATTAGATCTTTGCAGTAGAATCTCCCTAGGTAGATAAAGTTGCAGGCCTGGATAACGTGATCATAATTTAATTTCTGATCAGTTGGGTTTGTTATACCACAAACCCAAACAGCCACCCAGTCGCTCTTATTTTGGGGAGCCAGTGGACGCATCCCCCACTGCTGCATGCTTGCAGCCTGTCTCTCCTGTAATCTCGACTGGTGGCTTCGTGGATTGTGCTAGGCCCAGCACCTCTGAGAAACCCAAGCTTCTCGAGAGAAGCAGAAGGAATTGCAGGCAGAGGAGGTGCGCTGTTTGCCCTTCCCCTCCCACTTGCTTCCTCTGCTCCAAATGCATCTTCTGGTGAGGGAGGCGGGTGACGTCAGAGTCACTTGGAAGAACTCGCAGGCTCTGCTGAATAACCTGGAGGGGGGAAGCATGTCCAGCCTCGGGACTGAGCCGCATATCAGTAGGTCGCTTGTGGTGACCAACAGTTGGCGGTGCCCAGGCCCTGCTCCTTTGGACCTAAACCTAGAAGGCAGCTTTCTGGGCACGGCTGTGAAGGTGGGGTCCGCTGGATGGGAAAAGATTCCCTTTCTCATCCCAGAGTGTTTGCGGGTGGAGTTTATCATAGAGGAGCGTTGGCTTTCCTTCCCCTAAGAGCCAGTGAGGCGACAAGTTGAAAGGACTTGGGACAGCCCATCTGGGGCAGGGACGAGACATGACTCACTGTTCAGTGCGAGGCAGCAAAAGTCATTGCTTCCCTGTGCCGCAAGGTCATTTAAAGGACAGTCTTTTACAAGTGTGGAGCAGCAGAGGGAGGCAGCCAGAGTTCACATCCTACCAAGTGGCTCCAAAGCAAGCCACCCCACGCCAGCCCTGTGACCTCATCATCCCGATGGGCCCAGGAGACCTCATTGAAACTGCTAATTCGTGCGGAAGCCTGCTGTGTTCTTCCTGCCCTTGGTTTTGAAGGAATGCTCACTGACATTTATTGAGGGCCTGCTACTTGCCGGGCGCCGTGCGAGGGGCCTGGCACACATGACCTCATTTAGTTGTAACAGCCCAGCGAGCATCTCCCAGAGGAGGAAACCAAGGCCCGCAGCCATTCTTGCACCTTAGCAAGCACTAAGCCCGCTCGCAGGTAGGATGGCACAAGCGTTGGAGCCCAAGAGTACTCTTCAGCTACCTGTGTTATTTTCAGGCTGTCTGAGGACCCCACATAACTCCTCCGAGAAGCCTCGGGTGGCCCAGGGAATGAAGTATTTTATATGTTGGAGTTCTACCTATGATTTCCTTTGACAAAACGATTTTTTAATTCAAAAAATAATTAAAAGCCCCAGCTCTCTCTGGTGTTACTGTGAGTCCATGCGGGCTGTGTGCTGGGCCGTGCAGTGCAGGGTCACTTGCTCCTGCCCTAACCCAGGCAGGTGGCCGTGAAGTGAGTGCACTGCCGTTCAGAGCAAGTAATCTCTTGGCCAGGGTTATAAGCTGAGTAGAGGTGGGGGCCCTAGACTGGGTTCTGACAGGGCTGCCACGCACTGGGAGCTGGGAAGGAGGGCTGTCCGCAGTGGTATGGACTTGGCAGGCAAGTCCATGCCTGGAGGAAGTATGGTGTCGCCCCCTAGTGGACATCAGTTAGCTTTGCAAGTTTAGACACCGATGTCCTAGGATTAGTATTTGTGTGCGCACGTGCTTGGAGGAGCTTCCTGAATGTGTTCCTTGACGTGTCCTCGTGTGATATACACGTGCTCCCGGAGGCCCCATGCATCCTGCAGAGTCAGAAGGCTCGCAATGGCCCAGGTCCTGGCTCCCTGTTGTCCTGTTCCCGTTCTTCGTGACCCAGTGGGGCTGCCAGGTTCCTTCCCTGCCTTGGGGCAAGTGCGTGTCCTGCCCTGCGTGTCTGTCATCCAGCTGTCTCTGCTGCTGCCCGTGGGGCCCTGCCGTGGAGCCGAGGAGCTTTATGACGTTTCCTTCGCTCGCCACGGTACTTACCCAGCCATTCATCACCTGGACTTGAACACGTCCGGTGGCAAGTGGGGAGGCTTGTAAAAATATTTTCTGTTCTTGCAGATGATGTTAGCATGTGCCTAATGTGCATTTGTCTTATGACTCGGTTCTCAGTCTTGTTCCCCATTTGGAGTTGTCATTGGAAACACTTGCCAAAGTGTCTAATGCCCAGGGCAGGCCTGGTGCCTGCAGGAAATGGGAAGGGAGTGGGGTGAGCACGGGGCCATTGGCCAGACTGGCCAGCCTGTTCCGAGACCTGAGCCTCCCGTCTCTGGGCTTCAGGTTCCCCACCTGCAAACTGAAAGGTTTGGACTAGAAGAGCACTTTTGTAGGCTACTTTCTGTGAAGCCTAAAAGTTCCCCAGACTACTCAGATGGGGTCAAGAATGAAGAGCAAATGTTTGAAAACCGCTGGGCCACATAATCTCTAAGGACTCGCCGAGCTGCGAGGGTTCTGGGCCCTGTGGTTCTGCAGCCCCGAGTGTCTCCTCCTTGGGCTGGGGGTGGAGACAGAGCCGTAGCTGTCAGAGTGGGGTTTGTCTCAGCCTCAGGCGAAGTCTGGCTTGGGAAGGGCAGCCCAGTGCCTCGGGGAAAGCTCTTGGAGGGAGAAGCTTCTAAGAAGTGCAGGAGTGTTTCTAATCTGGGAGAGCCTTCTTCAGCTGTCCTCACCTGGCTTCTGTGTTCCCTTCTGCCCTGGCACGCATGCACACAGACTCCGCCCCTTCCCGTGATCCCTTCCTGGACTGGGAGTGCCAGGCTGAATTCCCAGGCCTGAGACTCACTACTGCCCCAGGCCAAGGAGCATTTAGCGACAGGCCAGGCCAGCACGCAGACGGGAGAGGTGCTGGCATCTGGGTGCGGTCGTTGGAGGCTGCCTGTGTCTTGAGTGGAGGAGAAGGCAACCACTAGCGCAGAGAGGCGGGCCAGGCTGGGACGGGGCAGGGGCCAGCGTCCCTGACAGAAATCACACCCAGAGGCCTGAGGTGGCACAGGCAACTGTGAGAGGGTGGACAGAGAGCCGGGCACAGGCCGACATCTGCCGTCCAGTGAACAGTCTGGTCGGCGTCTTGCTGCCTCAGGTGTGTCTGAGTGCCGTGGCTCGAACCCGGAGTAGTTCAAAGTGGCGTCAGCCAGGGAGGCGTGGAGAGGGGAAAGGCCCAGACAAGGGTGAGGAGGTCCTGGGTTCGACCTGGGCTCTACTCTGTGACCTTTCACAACTGGCTCTGCTCTTTAGGCCTCGATTTCCCCATCTGGGAAATGAGCAGGTGGGCCTAGGGGGCCCCAGCTTCTTCCACTCAGAAAGACGTCACTTTGCGGGTTCAGAGCTCAGCTCTGTTCTGCCGTGGGCACCTTGTTCGGAGTCCCCTCTGCACTGTGGGGTCCTGGGAGGCTGGAGAGAGCAGACGGGCCTGCAGCCAGGTCTGTGTGCAGCGTAGCGCCCACCGCAGCGTGTGGCGCAGGAGTGTCCGGTCATTGTACCCTGCGGCCCCCTGTGGAGGGATGCTCTTCAGAACCACAGGTGACACTGCCCTGGCTGGGAGCACGTGCTGCCACGTGGGCCTCGTGGAGCACACCACGGTCCGTGGAATTGGACAGCCTTGGGTTCCATTCCAGCTCCTCCTCGCTGGGCCCCTCCTCATCAGTACATCCTGGGTAATAACACTTCCTCTCAGAGTCACGTGGTGGTTAAACAAGACATTTGTGAAGCACTTGTCCCAGTACCTGGCACACAGCAGTAAGATGTTGTTAAAGAGGAAAGATAAGAAGACAACACATAGCTGCATAATATAGAAAGCCTTACCTTGGGAGGTGGCCTAGCCTAGGTTTTTGTTCTTTGAAGACTGTATTTCTTGAAGTTGCCGGTAAGGATCACTAAAATCATTGTATCATTGGATACCTTGGCTTCATAAAAAGAGCTTGGCCTCACAGTTATATAGAAAAAGAAAGAAAGAAAGAAAAGGAGCTTAGAGGCGTGGTATTGGTCTTATTATAAAATTAAGTGATTACACAGTTTACTGTTTTAAGAGCCAATTAGTTACTGTGGACAATTTTGAGAAATACGTGACAGAGGAAAAGCACTCATAATTCCACTACCAACATGCAAGCTCTGTTAGCAATTAGCCATTTTGAAAGGGACCAGTGAGTCTACGGAGGGGCTCTGAGAGTGAGACCCACTTCAAGAAATGGGGTTTCTTGAGCCAGGGCCATTTGCGGCCCTGCCTGCAGTGTTGATGTCCCGCACCCAGTTTGTGCGGGAGGTATTCTTGGGTGGGTGCACCCAATGGGGTACCAGGGCTGACTTGTGAGCACCTCTTTCCAACTCCATGTTCAGTGACATCTTGGTGATAGTCTAAAATTGGCCATGGTGAAAGTATTTACACCATGGAAATTGGCAAATGCTTCAAATCAGATGGTTGTTTTTTTCCCCAGAGCCAATTTTTCAAATTGGATCACCAAGGCTCAGAGTTTAGGGTCACACGGAGTCAGTGGCAGAACTGAGACGTGAACCCAGGTAGCCTGACTCCAAAGCCTGTGCTCTTGACCACTCGGTCCTGCTGCCTCTGGTCTTAGCACCTTGAGCTGTCTGCATCTTGGATGGCTTCCTTAGGCTAGCATTCCGGAAGTGGAATTACTCCATCAGGGGAGACGTAATGCTGAATGCAGGGACTTTTTCAGAAAGCTCCAAAATTGGGGCTGCAAGAGAGGTCTTGGCCCACTTGCAGACTGTTCCTTCTTTGCCTGTTTTCAGCTCTATGGAAGGCGCACCCCCTGGGAGGATCCTGCCAAGTGGGTGATGGACACGTACCCATGGGCAGCCACCCCACAGCAGCACGAGTGGCCTCCCCTGCTGCAGCTGCGGCCCGAGGATGTCGGCTTCGATGGCTACTCCATGCCTCGGGAGGGGTCGACTAGCAAGCAGGTGCCCCCCAGTGACGCTGAAGGAGACCCGCTGGTGAGTCTCAGCTCCCAGGGCAGCTCGGCATTCGCTGGGCACTTCCTGTGTTTCAGGTGCAAGGCACTTTGGGAATGCGCAGGCGACTAAGCCCAGCCTTGCCTCAGAAGGCTGGGTCCACCCCAAGATTAGGGCTATTTTTGTCAATATTTTCTTCCATGGTTTTACTTTTTCACTAAAGCCTTTAACCCCTCTGAAATTTTTCTGATATTAGGTATAAGATTAAAAATTTAAGTTTCCTTCTTAATGTTCCTATACCTAGCGTTTCTACACAACTCCTTGCCCTCAGCTTTGTGATGCCACCTTTATCAAGTATTTCTCTGCTCCTTTGATCTCTCCCACTAATAACTGAGCAGAGGAAGAGATCGCTAAGGACCGGAAGCCCGAGCCAAATGATGAGCAGTACAGGCAGGGAGCACTTTGAGGGCAGAAGGGACTCAAGGACTCACAGAGGGCAAAGGGGGCCTGAATATAGATCCCACAGCCAGTGAAGTCTTTATGCTGCTTAAACTTATTTACTCTGCCATTGCTAAATCAATAGAGGCCCTCTTTTTTTTCATTTGAGACAGAGTCTTGCTCTGTTGCCCCGGCTAGAGTACAGTGGCGTCATCATATCTCACTGCAATCTCAAACTCCTGAACTCAAGTGATCCTCCTGCCTCAGCCTCTCAAGGAGCAAGGACTTTGGGCACATGCCATGATACCTGGCTAATGTTTTTGTATTTAGTAGAGATGGGGTCTTGCTCTTGCTCAGGCTGGTCTCCAACTCCTTTAAGAAGCACCTGGGCCAGTAACAAGAGCATTTCTAAGGAAATATAATACTCTCTACCAATAGAAGACCCATACTTAGTCATACCACTAAATTAGACCTAACAAATCAAAAGCCATGAGAAGGAAATATACCAAAATCTCCCATGGTTAAACAACTATTATCATGCTTTAAATTTAGCCTCAAGCTTCCTTGGCAGCTATAACAAAAAGAAAAATGCAACAGAGAATATTTTTCACATTACCTAACAAAAGAAAATATTCATAAGAGATGTAGTAGGATTAAAAGACAACTGATTCACTATTCTATCCCTAGCAGCTCATTGATTCACTAGATTAAAAAAAATAATAGGTGATTTGGGTGTCTGCCATCCTGCTGATTGGTGTGATATAACTGTGATCCTATTGTGGATTTGGGCAGGAACTATACTTTTAAAGGACTTATTGTTTGTGTTGCCATGTGCGAGTTTGCAGTACAACAGTGGTCTTACAGAGGAAGGAAGTGTACTTTAACACAGCCTTTTCTAATGTTAGCCATTGCTGAAAGCCACGGTCATGGAGGTATTTTAGGTGAGGGCAAGCTCATGAAGTCTTGCCTTCATAAAAATAGAATCTAGGATATCTAGAGGAAAGAATAGTGAGCCCATCCTTAGACAGTCTTTTCTTAGCCAATAATATTTGTATCACTGATTGGACACAGAGGTGCTTAGATAAGACCTAGGGTTCTTAGAACAGTGACACAGAATTCTCCGTCCAACCCCTAGACATTGGGTATTTTTCCCAAGTCCTGTTCTGTCTGACTAGCTCTAGTATTTAATTAATCTTACTCCCTCATGAGACTGAGACCTTCATGAAAATAGGACTGACTTGTTTTTGTTCTGGAACCATATACTATGGGTAGGCTGGGAATGTTTGATGAGTGACTAAATAACCCCAAATGCCAAGGATTGTCCCTTGTACTTCAGCTCCATCTCCCCCCTGGCTGTGGCTGTGCAGATGGACACCAGATGGGGGCGCTCTTGCGGCCTGGTTCATCTGGGTGGGCTGCAAGGCAGGCTGAGGTGCAGCTGGCCAGGAAGCAGCCGGATCCTGTGCCCATCTGCAGCACACCTGGCTGTAGCTCAGAGACCCTATCCTCCTAACGTCCTTGCTATGTAAAATATAAAATACACACAATTTATGGTTTTAAGTAAAAGTAATTTTTAGTTCCCGTTCCCCACTCCCAAGCAGACAACCAATAGAATGTAAACCAGGAAAGAACACTGTCTCTAGACTCTTTAACTTAGATGATGATAACATCACATTTATTAAGTACTTACCATGTGCCAGGCCAGCCCCTCTTGTAAGTGTTTAATAATACACATGATGTCATTTTATTCCCTATAAGATAGGTGCTGCTGTTCTCCCTGTTCTACAGATGGGGAACTGATGGCTCAGAGACTTTAGGCAGCTTGCCCAAAGGGCCCTGAATCGTAGCCCAGCCCCTCCACACACCGCATGTACCTGGTGCTCTCCCTCACCCCCGCAGCTCTGGCAGGAACCTGGAGCCCAGTTGGCTCCACTGTGACCTCCCCTGGAGCCAGGGGCACGATGGGCTCAATGCTCACTGAAGGCAGGAGGAGGGTGCTTTTGTTGCCAGCAGTGCTGCCACAGTGTCCAGCAGCAGGGCTGCTTGGCCAGTGTCTGGGCTGTGCTGGGGTAAGGTGTGCCCCTCCCAAGTTAAAAAGTATCATATTCATAGAGAGCTTCCTGTTTGGTTTTCCATGCTCTGCATATATTAACGTAATCCACACCATAACATTGCAGGACAAGTCCTGTTATTCACATTTGACCAATAACGAAACAAGCCCATCGGGAGGCTGAGGTGGGAGGATCACTTGAGCCCAAGAGATCAAGGTTACAATGAGATATGATCCAAAAAAAAAAAAAGGGAAAGAAAAAAGCAGCACAAAGAGGTTAAGTAAGTTGTCCCAAGTTCGTGCAGCTAGTAAGTGGTGGAGCCGGGGTTTGAACCCTGGAAGCCTGGCCCTTGCTCGTGTGCGTTGCCTCCGTGCTGGGCTGCAATCCCAGGCGAGCCTGCAGGAGGTGGCACTAGCATCGCAGAGGCCAGGGTGGGTGGCTGGCGAGACTGCGAGCTGCTCACGCCGCCTCCCTCTTCCCCCAGATGAACATGCTGATGAGGCTGCAGGAGGCGGCCAACTACTCCAGCCCCCAGAGCTACGACAGCGACTCCAACAGCAACAGCCACCACGACGACATCCTGGACTCGTCCCTGGAGTCCACTCTGTGACAGGAGCCCGGCCGCAGAGCCTGCCCCTCCCCCCGCACCCGCCACGCCACGCTGAAGATGACTTCCTGAGCCAGCCCCCGGCCGCAGCCTCAGCGCTGCAGGAATACCAAGACCCCTCGTCCTCCAGCCTCGACCTGGGTGCGGGCGTCCCGGGCCAGCCGCCTGGGGACCGCGTCCCCACAGTGAGAACTGCACTACCTTCTGTTTTACTTTTAATTATTGGTATTTTTTTTTTTTTTGCCTTGTTGCTGTGACCTCCCTAAGACACTGAAGATACTTCTCGGGAAAGGATCATCACCGTTGAAATGAAAAGGAAAAAAAAATTTTAAAAATAGAACCCACATGAAGCTCTGAAACCAAACGGCACCCTGCCACCACGAGCCGCCCAGTGACGGGAGAGACTGGAGCCACGTTGGAGACGCAGACGGCTCGGCTTCCCCTCACGCGGACCCGGCCGGGTCTCCCAGCCTCGCCAACCCGCCCTCGCGGCCGCAGAGGGAACTGGTGCTAACCACGGCGCCGGCCTTGGTCCCACTCCACACACCACAGAGCTGCGACGCAGGGAAACCTGAGGAGCAAACAAATCGTGCTTTAGTGTTTTCTTACATGGTGCTCTCCTTACCCGAGAGGTATTTTTGCCTGTGCTAATTCGAACGCCCCTTCAGGCCCGTCCGCCCCCAGTGGACCCGTGAGCGCGCGTGAGCAGTGCGAGCGTGAGCGCGTGGGTGTGGCTAGCAAAGCAGAACAGCATGTATCTCTTCCCTTATTATACAGAAAGGAATCAGGTGTTTTTTCTGCAAACACTGTGTATAGTGAGAATTGTTCTACTTTGGAGAACTGATTATCACAATGAGGTTGAGTTTCTTCTCTCTTTCTGATGCATTGATAGTTTTTTTTGTTTTTCTTTTTTGGAAGATTTTTCTCCTTCCACCACCCTCGGTCAGAATCAATCCTTTGGCGAAAGCAAGAACCACAGGAGCTGAGTTTTGGTTTGGTCCTGCTCCGTTTTGGTTTTCAGTTGTCCATCCTCACAGCCCTACACACTCGCCTCCTGCTGCCGGGGCTGGGGGTATTCGTGTCCTTCACCAGGGTGAGGGCCCCGTCCTCCACATGTGGGTGAGCCATGGACCTTGCCTTTCCTCCTCGTCCTTGAGGGTTGAGCAGACACGCCGACCCCTCCTCAGGCGTCCCAGCCCCGACTCCAGGTGGGTGGCGAGGTCACCTCACAACAGACTTGCACTTTCCTCAGAACCAACGTGACGCAGCTCAGCAGGGGTGGGGTGGCTGCTCCCCACCCCACCCCCCACCCCCAGAAGCCCCATCTGGACGAGCCTTGCCTGACCTCTTTGGTGCTGACCTTCCCAAAGTGATGCCTTACTGGTTTTGTACTAACCGTGTTCATGTACATGAGTGTCGTGCCTGCCTGAGGTTAGTTTTCCTTTTTTTGTTGTTTTTGTTTTTGTTTTCCCCATCGAAACAAACAGGGCTAAAAAGTCATCTACTCATTAGCAGAACTCAAGTTGCTGTGACTTTTCTCATCCAAGAGACTCATCGGTGTTGGGTGCGTGACCATGGGAAAAAGAAAAAGAAAACAAATATCCATTTTCAGGTTCTTATCAGTCTCCAACTAACAACCTGACTGGACGATGATCTTTCTCCTGCAGGAAAAGGCAAAAGTTCCTACTAGCCTACACGGTACTGCTGGCACTTGCCCTAAGAGAAACCCAGTCTGCTGTGCTTTCAACATACTGGTATTTTCTTTAAAAATATGGTAAATCTTTTGAGTTGTTCATTTCTGTTGTATAAAGAGAATCTTTATCGGACCCCAGTGAGGGTGTCTCTGTTTTTTCAGGGTTTTTATTCCATCTTTTTGCATTTCTATTTCTGAAGGTTTGTCTCTTGGCATTTTTTCCCCTTGTTTTCTTACCATAAGAGCTTGACCCGAAACTGCTCATGTCACATTGGATGGCACCATGTCCCTCTTCTTCACAAGGAAGGGGGAGATGTGTCCCCCTAACTGGCGAATGGAAAACCTTTCCACACTATCCCCACTTTCATCTCAGTAAACTCAGACTATTCTGCTTAGCCTTCATTAGTCATCTGGGTGTGAGTGTGTCTTGTTCTGGTTTTGTTTTTAATAATAAAATGTTTAAACCATATATTTAGCCTGCGACCAGGGCCAAACCCTGAGACTTCTGAGAAACCTGAAGGGTGGCCCTTGTCAATTTGTCTCCCAGCAATGACCTTACGCTCTAGTACTGTGAATTTGAGAGGAGGTGACATTGACGATTCCTCGTGGGCAGTTTTTCCCAGTCACCTTGTGAGTAGACACCTGCCAAGATCGTTTGAAACCTCTTGTATTTTTTCCATGGCATCCTCTCTTCTCCCCTCTCCCACGGACTTCCCTCCCACTGGGTCCAGGCTCAGAACCAAGACCTCGGTACCTGGCACAGCCTGGTTGGTGAATGGTGATTTCAAGTAGTGTAGCCCTCGTGAGACTCACCACTCAGTGTCCTTCCTAAAGTTTCGGGAAGCAGGGTTGTCTAATATGCACATTTCTTACTTTGGTCATGTTTTTACGTTAGTGTCACTCACGTTTGACAAAGTGACTTTGTACTCACTTAGGGCTTTGTCTGAAATGCTTCCATTTTGCCTTTTTCTACAGTTAGGCTAATTTTGAAATGTATGAAATTCTATGCAACATTTATGTTGAGTTAACGATGGAAGCCAAACATTTTCTTCCCAAACTGCCAAGAATTATCCAGGCCATACATGAGATGGGAATACCTTTTAATTTTAGGTTGGTTGGGGGTGGGGTGGGACAAAGAACAAGACTTGCCTAGACCTTTGCTGTACCTTGGGGACTTTCTTATTTTATTAATTCTTGAACTTCAAAATTCCGTGTATTCAAATTTGTGGCGATTCTACTTCAAAAGGAAAAAATAATCCAACTTTGTGGATATTCCATGGAAGGTTTGCTGTTTTGATCTAGTTGTTTCCGGTGGAGCGGTTTATGAAATATGTTCTATAAGATGTACATTTTTTCATTGTAACATAGAAATTGTAAATAATTGATTAAAGTGCTGCATTTTGATGAATTTTTTCTAGCCATTTTTAAAGAGAAAACTAGGAATTGAGTATTTTGTGTACGGTATGTTTCCATCCTCCCTCCCCCCTCCTCCTTCCCGCCCTCCCTATTTAATTTTCATCTGTCATGAGGTTTTTGGATTTGCCAATGATCTGCTGGACATCATGCCCCATGTCATAGAGAATAAAGCTGATGATTGTACCAGTCTTAAATTATTCATGATTCAATAAAATTGATGCTTATTTATTCAGATTAGTGGTCTGGCCTGTCTGTGCTAGAGCAAGTCCTCATCGGAGCCTAATTTCATGCCAAGAGGAAGTCACTCTTACCTGGGTGCAGCAAACCTTTGCAAAGCCATCTCTGTCAGTCTGTCATCAGCATCCCACCTCTTCACAGCTTCTCATCTGTTACTACAACTCAAGGGGAGCTTGTTAGAAATGCAGAATTTCAGATCCTCTCAGGCTCTCAATCACTGGGGATCTTGTGGAAATACAGGTTCTGATGCAGTAGGTCTAGGATGGGTAGCACTCAAGATTCTTAATTTTTTTTTATTTAAGCATATTATGGAGGTACAAATGCTAAGGTTACATATATTGCCCTTCCCTCCCCCCCCCTTCGAGTTAGAGCTTCAAGCGTGACCATCCCCCAGACAGTGTGCATGGCACTCATTATGTATGTATATACCAAAATGCTCTGGTCACTGGACCACACTTTGAGTACCAATAAACATCGGTGTCCAGCCAGCCCACCCATTGACCCCTCATTTTTTTAAAATGTATTGAGTCCTACTAATTTCCAAATGCTTCCCCAAATACTCAATATCATGCAAAGTGATGCCAGGGAGGTATTCTCACCCCCAGTTTACAAGTGGGGGAAAAAATAGAAAATGACTGCCAAGGAACCTATAGCTAAGTGGTAAGAGAGTTGGAGTTCCAGCCCCTTCTTCCAACTCCTAATCCTGCCTTCCCAGGCTGCCCTCCAATCTCACGGGCCTCCTCCCACATTGCAGGTGACATCCACAGCAGACATGGGCAGTGGGAGACGACATTACATCTGCACGTTCACTTTCAGCAGCAACAACAAAAGTTGTAAAGGCTTTAGTTTGAAGGGAGTCCTGTGAGTTGACAGCAAAATAGGTCCTACACAGCTCAACTGCTATTGACGTGGAATGTCTGACTCGTGGTAATGCACAACAATGGCCTAACAAGGGTGGAGGTAAAGAATCCAGGTATTGAGCATGGGCAGTTTTTAATACCTGTCCAAAAAACAAAGGGACAGTGGTGCAATGGTTTGGCAACTAGATGTCCTGAATTCCAATCTTTTCCACGTCAAATATCCTATCCCATTGCTACATGATATATCCTGATGTTACCTAGGAAGTATGATCAGCATACACAAAGGGCATGATGGGCTAAATGGCTTTTTAAACAGAAGGGTTTAAAAACTGCATTTTTTTACTGCATTTATGTACTTGTGCCAGACATACTGAAAATTTCACTTTATCTCACATAAGCTCAGCACCTCTAAGAGGTGGGTATAATCATCTGCATTTGGCAGGTGAGGAAACTGAGACTGAGTGATGTTAAATAACTTAGTATATGGTAGAAGTGGAATTCTCAGTTTATCTGATTCAAAAATCCATATGCTTTCTGCTACACTGTGCTATACCCAGCTGAGCTTGGACTCTGTGGGGAGGATCACGTGTCCCTTGTATATTATTTATTGCCATGCAACAAATTACTCCCAAATTTTGCAGCTTAAAGCAACAAGCATTTTCTCACTGTGTCTGTGGATCAGGAGCCCAGGTATATCTTGGCTGAATACTCGGCCTCAGAGTTTCTCAAAAGGCTGCAACCAATGTGTCTTAAATATTTACAAGAAATATTTAAAAGCAAGAACTAGAGAAAGCATCATAATTTAATGGTAAAAGGTTGACTTTTTTTCATGCAGATTGAGAAACAGCTAAAGATGCCTCTTAACATCATGCTAGAGATCATAGTACCGAGTAGCAAGAAAAATAAATCATAAGGATTGGAAAAGGAAGAAATTAGACTGCCTTTACTCATGGGTAACATTTCATACTCAGATAAGCCAATCAAATCCACACATAAATTTTAGAAGTTTAATAAGCTTTTAAAATCAGTACACAAAAATCAAGCATCTATATCCAGCCAAAAGTTTAAAAATTAAAAATACCAATTTAAAAGCCAAAATATCAAATACCTAGGAATAAATACAATATAAGATGTGCATGACTTCTATGCAGGAATCTACCAAATATTGAGAGAAATTAAAGAAAACCCAAGTAAATGGAGGAAAATAGTATGTTTATGAATTAGAAGACAATGTTATAAAGATGTCAGTTTCTCCTAGCTGGACTACAGATTTGATGCAATCTCATTTAAAAGTCCAACACAATTGTTACGGAATTGACAAAATGATCCTAAAATGTATCTGGAAATGCAATGGGTGAAGTATGGCCAATGAAAGACCAAGAGAAGAATTTCTCTACTAGATATCAATACTCTCTATAAAGGTCATTAATTAAGACAATGTGGTATTGGTGCAAGAATTAACAAATAGTTCAAGAGAATAGGATAGACATCCCCGAAATAAACCCAATATACACTTGCTTTACTACCTGGAACGGTGAATAATGTCTCGGACCAAACGACCTACTTTATGGAGAAGGAAATGTGACACAGGACACGTGGCAAGGGACCCAGTGGTTTCTACTACACAACTGAAGGCTGGACTGTCCTTTGAAAGGCTGGTACAGCTAAGTCACCAGCTTTGGAAAGATGTTCTGTGTTGGAGTATTGTCCTCCAGGAAACAGTCTAAATTTTCATCCATCAGCTGTTACTTGTTGCTGAGTGCCCGATCGCTAGAATACATGTGCCTGAGAACCAAGGAGTGGAAGTATAGGGACCCCTTTCCCAGGGAGCAACCCACATGGGGGATTTTTGGCTTCCCTTCCTACAAGTTTAGGCTCTGCAAAATTAGAGGTATGTGTGTGGCCAGGCGAGGGGAAGTGAGAGAAGGGAAACCTCTACTCTCCCCCCACTGAATTTAAAACTATGGCAGCTACCTGCTCACTTGGGGCTGCTGACGCTGGCAGACCAGCAGGCAGAGAAAGGAGTTACTAACGCAGCAGCAATACCTCTGATTCTGCTGCAGGATGGGGGCACGGAGTAGGATGTCTAGAATTTGGGGGACTCTCCTCTCTGGGATACTGTGAATGGCATTTGAGCTACTACAGCCTGACAAGGTGGCCCAGACCCTTTAGGAATGAAGGTCCAAGTCATCTGTCTGGGCAAGCAACCTAGGCCCGAGGTGCTGGGAAGAGCAGCGTGATGCAGAATGGAGGGTTGAGAAAGGAGAGATCGGTCTTGAGCTTGGCTGTAGCAGTGGAGACCATAGCCTGATGCACTGACTCTCACATTCTGAGTCTTTAAGAGATCGTGGCCTTGAAGAATCGGTTACTGGGGAGTCAGTGCCAGGAATGAGTGGTCTGAGCGACGGTAGGGATGGGCCGCAGCAGACACTGGTGATTCCTCCCTCCACACGCTTCAGCCTGACTTTGCCTGACCCTGCAGGGGACAACTCCCGGCCCGCTGGCAGTGGCTCCCTTCAAGCACCAGCATCTCTCTGCTTCCCTACCTGGGACCTTTCTCCAGTGCAGAGCAGCCCACAGGACAGGGGACTCAGTGCCCCCAGGGGCAACCTATGCCCAGCGTTCCCATCCTTCTGTGGGACAAGTGGAGGCACATTCTACAAAGTGCTTGAGAGCTGTGGTCCCCAGACCCCAGGACGTGGACCAGTACCAGTCCGTGGCCTGTTAGGGACCAGGCCACAGCTCTGCCAGCACTACCCCCCTCCAAGGTCCTTGGAAAAATGGTCTGCCATGAAACTGGATCCTGGTGCCAAAAAGGTTGGGGGAGTCAGGCACCTAGAGCACAGCCCCGAGAGGGAGTCCTCCTCCAATTTGCACCCAGACACCTCGCTTGCCTCACGGGAACCCAACCCCAGCCCTCCCCTCAGCTGTGCTTCCTGACACCACAACACAAGTTATCCGCACCCGAGTCCTTTCTCCATATCTGCTAAGACAACGCAGCTGTTCCTCTTCGTTGTTGTTACAGGTTGAATCAGTCCCCTCCAAAAGACATTTGCTGACGTCCTAAATCCCAGTACCTCAGCATGTGACCTTATTTAAAACTAGAGTAGTTGCAGGTGTAATTAATTAAGATGCAATCATACTAGAGTAGGATCTATTAATAATATGACTGGTGCGCTTTGTAAGAAGACAAGGTGAAGGTACAAGAGAAGAATGCCACAGAAGGTGGAGGCACAGATAGGTGTCAGGGAGCTGCACGCCAAGGGACACCAGGGACTGACACTCCTTGCTTCCACCAAGAAGCCAGGAAGAGACAAGAAAGGATTCCACCCAGAGTCTCAGAGGGCTCGTAGCCCTGCTGACACCTTGCTCTCAGACCTGTAGCCTCCAGAACTGCAAGAGAATAAATTTCCATTGTTTTAAGTCACCCACCTGGTTTGTGGTACTTAGTTATGGCAGCCCTAGGAAACTGACCGTTATTTACCCAACAAAAATGCATATATAGGAACAAGAAATATATACACAAATGTTCGTAGCAGCACTATGTATAATTATGAAAAACTGGAAACAATCCACACACCCACTGACAGTAGAATGACAAAATTGTGATAAATCAGTGTCACACAGAGGTAAAAAATATTTGTGGATGAATATTGAGTGAATGTTGAGAGCAGCCAGACACAAAAGGATGCTGAATGTGTGATTCCACGTATATAAAGTTCACAACAGCATTTAGGAGCGGGTGGATGCCTGGGTCGTAGAACTATAAAGAAAAGCAAGCAGGGAGGGCAGCAGTGGGGAGGGTGAAAGGGACTTTGGGTTGTGGCACAAGTCCTATTTCTTAAAGTGGATGATGCTACAGGTTGATTGTATCCCCCCCAAATCCATACGTTGAAACGTAACCCACAATGGGTTATTAGAAGGTGGGGCCCTTACAGGTTGATTAGGTCTTGAGGGCTCCACCATCATGAGTGTGATTAGTGCCCTTATGTAAGAGAGCTAGCTAGCCCCTCCCACCACGTGAGGACCCTTACGGTGGGTGAGGAAAGACATCACACCCCCATACTGAGAAGGACTCGGACAGCAGCTACTACAGGTGAATATCGTCATGTCCATTTTACAGGTGAGAAGCTGAGG